GACATGGACGTGGACATGGAGGACGTGGACGTGGACGTGGACGTGGATGTGGTCGTGGACGTGGACGTGGACTGGACGTGGACCGTGGACGTGGACCTGGACGTGGACCTGGACGTGGACGTGGACGTGGACCTAGACGTGGACGTGGACATGAACGTGGACGTAGACCTGGACGTGGACGTGGACGTAGACGTAGACCTGGACGTGGACTTGGACGTGGACGTGGGACGTGGACGTGGACGTGGTCGTGGACGTGACGTGGACGTAGACATGGACTTGGACTTGGACGTCGACGTGGACGTGGACGTGGACGTGGTATGTGGACGTGGACGTGGACGTGGACCTGGACGTGGACCTGGACTTGGACGTGGACTTGGACGTGGACGTGGACGTGGTCGTGGACGTGGACGTGGGGTCGTGGACCTGGACGTGGACGTGGACGTGGACGTGGAGTGACGTGATCGTGGACGTTGACGTGGACGTGGACCTGGACGTGGACGTGGACGTGGACGTGGACGTGGACTTGGACGTGGACGTGGACGTGGACGGTGGACGTGGTCGTGGACGTGGACGTGGACGTGGACGTGGACGTGGTCGTGGACGTGGACGTGGACGTGGACCAGGACGTGGACGTGGACGTGGACCTGGATGTGGACGGGTGGACGTGGAGGTCGTGGACGTGGACGTGGACTTGACAAGGACGTGGATCTGGACGTGGACGTGGACGTGGACGTGACGTGGACGTGGAGGACGTGGACGTGGACGTGGACGTGGACATGGACGTGGACGTGGTCGTGGACGTGGACGTGGGGGACGTGGACGTGGACTGGACCTGGACGTGGACCTGGACGTGGACGTGGACGTGGACCTGGACGTGGACGTGAACGTGGACGTGGACGTGGTCGTGGACGTGGACGTAGACGGGACGTGTGGACGTGGACCTAGACCTGACGTGGACTTGGACGTGGACTTGGACGTGGACGTGGACGTGACATGGACGTGACGTGGGACGTGGTCGTGGACAGTGGTCCGTGAACGTGGACGTGACATGGACGTCTACGGGGACGTGGACGTGACCTGGATGTGGACGTGGACTTGGACGTGGACGTGGACATGGACGTGGACGTGGACGTGGAGGATGTGGACGTGGAGGACGTGGACGTGGACGTGGCAAGGACGTGGACCTGGACGTGGTCGTGGACGAGGACGTGGACGTGGTACGTTGGACGTGGACATGGAGGACGTGGACGTGGACGTGGACGTGGTCGTGGACGTGGACGTGGACGTGGACGTGGACGTGGACTTCGACTTGGACGCGGACGTGGACACGTGGACGTGAAAGTGGAGCTGGTCGTGGACGTGGACGTGGGACGTGGGCGTGGACGTGGACGTGGACGTGGACGTTGACCAGGACGTGGACGTGGACGTGGACCTGGATGTGGACGTGGACTTGGACGTCGACGTGGACGTGGACGTGGACGTGGAGGACGTTGACGGTGGACGTGGAGGACGTGGAGGACGTGGACGTGGACGTGGAGGACGTGGACGTGGACGTGGAGGACGTGGATGTGGACGTGGATCGTGGACGTGGACGTGGACGTGGTCGTGGATGTGGACGTGGACTTGGACGTGGACGTGGACGTGGGACCTGGACACGTGGACGTGGACGTGGACCTGTACGTGGACGTGGACGTGAATGTGGACGTGGACGTGGTCGTGGACGTAGATGTGGACGTGGACGTGGACCTGGACCTGGACGTGGACTTGAACGTGGACTTGGACGTGGACGTGGACGTGGACGTGGACGTGGTCCGTGGACGTGGACGTGACGTGGACGTGGACTCGGACTTGGACGTGGACGTGGATGTGGACCGTGGACGTGGATGTGGATCTGGACGTGGGACCTGGACTTGGACGTGGACTTGGACGTGGACGTGGACGTGGACGTGGTCGTGGACGTGGACGTGGACGTTGACGTGGGACGTGGTCGTCGACGTGGACGTGGACTGGGACCTGGACGTGGACGTGGACGGTGGACGTGGTCGTGGACGTGGACGTGGAAGTGGACCTGGATGTGGACGTGGACTTGAACGTGGACGTGGACGTGGACGTGGCAAGGACGTGGACGTGGACCTGGACGTGGACTGGTCGTGGACTTGGACGTGGACGTGGACATGGTCGTGGACGTGGACGTGGACCTGGACGTGGACGTGGACTTGGACGTGGACGTGGACGGTGGACGTGGTCGTGGACGTGGACGTGGTCGTGGTCGTGGACATGGACGTGGACGTGGACGTGGACGTGTACCTGGACGTAGACGTGGACTTGGACGTGGACTTGGACTTGGACGTGGACGTGGACGTGGTCGTGGACGTGGACGTTGACGTGGTCGTGGACGTGGACGTGGCCCAGGACGTGGACTTGGACGTGGACGTGGACGTGGATGTGGACGTGGACGTGGTCGTGGACGTGGACGTGGACGTGGACGTGGACGTGGTCGTGGACGTGGACGTGGTCGTGGGCAAGGACATGGACGTGGTCGTGGACGTGGACGTGGACGTGGACGTGGACGTGGTCGTGGACGTGGACGTGGACGTGGACGTGGACATGGACGTGGTCGTGGATGTGGACGTGGACGTGGACGTGGTCGTGGACCTGGACGTGGTTGGTGGACGTGGACGTGGACGTGGACGTGGACGTGGTCGTCGACGTGTAATGGACGTGGACGTGGTCGTAGACGTGGACGTGGACGTGGACGTGGTCGTGGACGTGGACGTGGACGTGGACCTGGACCTGGACGTGGACGTGGACTTGGACGTGGACGTGGACTTGGACGTGGACGTGGACGTGGACGTGGTCGTGGACGTAGACGTGGACGTGGACCTGGACGTGCACGTGGACGTGGACGTCGACGTTCTCAGAATCCCAACCACTAGACCATTGGATAAAAGGGCTTGTTTCAGTAGCGGGTCAGTACGCCATAACCCCCCAGGCAACCGTGCCTGTAACCCTTCCCTAGGATCAATCGGGGATCACCAGTGGACCTCTTGACACCCCCCCTCACTGGGATGCCCGAAGTGCACACACCGGGATTCGAACCCGAGACCTTCGCTCTGATACCATCTCAGAATCCCAACCACAAGGACCATTGGGATAAAAGTGCTTGTTTCAGTAGCAAGTCAGTGCGCCCATAACCCCCCAGGCAACCGTGCCTGTAACCCTTCCCTAGGATCAATGGGGGATCACCAGTGGACCTCTGACAGACGTGGACGTGGTCGTGGACGTGGACGTGGACGTGGACCTGGACGTGGACGTGGACGCGGACGTGGACCTGGACGAGGACGTGGACGTGGACGTGGACGTGGACGTGGTCGTGGACGTGGACGTGGACGTGGACGTGGACGTGGACGTGATCGTGGACGTGGACGTGGACGTGGACGTGGACGTGGTCGTGGATGTAAACGTGGACGTGGACGTGGTCTGTGGACGTGGACGTGGACGTGGACATGGACGTGGACGTGGACGTGGACATGGACGTGGACGTGGACTTGACTTGGACGAGGACGTGGACGTGGACGTGGACGTGGTCGTGGACGTGGACGTGGTCGTGGACATGGACGTGGACGTGGACGTGGACTTGGACGTGGACGTAGACTTGGACGTGGATGTGGACGTGGACGTGGACGTGGACGTGGACGTGGTCGTGGACGTGGACGTGGACGTGGTCGTGGACGAGGACGTGGACGTGGTCGTGGACCGTGGACGTCAACGTGGTCGTGGACGTAGACTTGGTCGTGGACGTGGACGTGGACGTGGACGTGGTCGTGGACGTGGACGTGGTCGTGGACGTGGACGTGGTCGTGGACGTGGACGTGGTCGTGGACGAGGACGTGGACGTGGACGTGGACGTGGACGTCGACGTCGACGTGGACATGGACGTGGACGTGACGTGGTCATGGACGTAAACGTGGACGTGGTTGTGGACGTGGACGTGGACATGGAAGTGGACGTGGACGTGGTCGTGGACGTGGGCGTAGGACGTGGACATGGACGTGGACGTGGACGTGGGCGGTGGACGTGGACGTGGCACGGACATGGACGTGGTTGTGGACGTGGACGTGGACGTGAACCTGGACGTGGACGTGGTCGTGGACGTGGACGTGGACGTGGACCTGGACGGTGGACGTGGACGTGGACGTGGACTTGGACGTGGACGTGGACGTGGACACAGACGTGGACGTGGAGGTGGACGTGGAGGTGGATATGAACGTGGACGTGGAGGACTTGGACGTGGACGTGGACGTGGACGTGGACGTGGACGTGGTCGTGGACGTGGACGTGGAGGTGGATATGGACGTGGACGTGGAGGACTTGGACGTGGACTTGGACGTGGACGTGGACGTGGACGGGGACGTGGACGTGGACTGTGGACGTGGTCGTGGACGTGGAGGTGGATATGGACATGGACGTGGAGGACTTGGGACGTGGACTTGGACTGCTGGACTGGACGTGGACGTGGACGTGGACGTGGACGTGGTCGTGGACGTGGACGTGGTCGTGGACGTGGTCGTGGACGTGGACGTTGACGTGGTTGTGGACGTGGACGTGGATGTGGACTTGGACGTGGACGTGGACGTGGACGTTGACGTGGTCGTGGACGTGGACGTGGACGTGGACGTGGACATGGACGTGGAGGTGGAGGGTGAACCCTAAACCCGAAACCCTAAACCCTAAACCCTGAAGTGGGGCGTGACCTGCACCACGACGTCTGAATTGGCACCACGAAAAGCGACGACACATGTAACATATACTGCTGCTGCTGACGACTCTGATGCCAAGAAGCTGAAATCTGTTTCCGGTTAGGCACTGAAGAAGTGGCGGCAACCTGAGTCGAGTTTCACTCGCGGGGCTCGTGCATAGCAATGTTCAATGCTAGCAAGAAGGGCTGCCCAGCTCAGGAGTTCCTGTACCGTATTAACTTGTGTGCTCACTGCTCAGCTTATTCTGTTAAAACTAGGCGCTGGTGCTCTAGCTGCTCTGTTAGTTTGTGCCTTCTTTTATATGTAACGCTTTAATCTAAACATGAAAGGGTGAAAACAATGTGTACACTGAAGAGTAACAGTACCTTTCCAGCTGACACTGATAAAAAAGACTGACATGGTTGACGCACCCTTACTGAAAGACCAACTCCAACTAACTGGTCTTACGAGTAAGAGTACCCCAAATCCTATCGAGAGGCCTAGCCATGTCGCCTCATTGGTTGTTTCACCCAATGAGGCGACACCCAGTTTGTAGAAGTAGTAGGCAGTGGGGGTGGCACTGAGTAGGTGTGTTGTGAATGTGATGCTCTTCCAGAGCTCATGGACTTTGTGAGTGCTACTTTATTACGGTATGTCATGGTAAATAACTTAGCTCACAAAATACTAACTGAAACAGGGTTGGCCTAAAACTACCCTGTTCAAATCAGGCTAGTGGTTGATTGACCCTGCTGCAAACAGGGTACGAAAAAATTTACCCTAGGGGTCGGGGTAAGGAGGGGCTGGAACCCTGACTTGTAAGGGTAGGCCTAAACCAATTTTGGGCCCTGGTTCTAACACTACGTACATTTGGATACCATTGCTCGAATCGAACATATACGCACATACCGTCACCCCCCGGATATACCCCCATGGGGGGCAATAATAAAACAGGTTTTTTCAAGGGGGTGGGCTTATAATCGAGTAAATTTATAAGCGCCGGCGTTAATAAAATGACATTCATATTTTTTTTTATTTTTGAACACCAAACTGTAGGTCTCGTGCTTGCCCTTTCAATCGAGTCGAAGTTACATGGGGTCGTCTGTGAAATTCTCCGCGCGCGCTGGGAGACACACCCAATCTGACTCACATCCAGCTCCTGGCAGCTCCTGACAGCTCCTGCTGACTGGACCCGCATCCAGTGCAGGGTCCGAATGTGAAGGGAACCGAATGTGCAACATATCTGCCTGCTAAAGTAAAAATCATTACAACGTTTTGTACACATTTCAAATTTTAAAGTTTACGTGCGCTTATAATAAAACTAGTTTTTTCAGGGGGTGCGCTTATAATCGAGGAGGGGATATAAGCGCCATATGCCAATTAGAAGCGCCAGGCGCTTATCCTAGGGTGGCGCTTATATCCGGGGGGTGACGGTACCATAAAATGTCATATGTGGTCTACTACCTTAGTATCTACTACTGGCCAACATAAGAAATTGGGCCATGTAACATGGCCCATGTTACATCATTATTCAGGAAGCATGACTTTTTCAAACTCACATTTACGGTATAATGACTGCACTGCAGTTCTATAGTTCATGCGTTTTGACAGCTCAGATTAGGATACAGCGTTTGTGGAATGCACCTAAATGGTTTCACCTATCGTGAGGAGCTTAGATGTGGACAGATCATGCGTGTGAGCATCTACCCTGTGTGCACGAAGGTGGCACTGCGTGCATCTGTGTGTGTGTCCTCCACCTTCACATCAAAGGCCATGCCTGGTGGTGGGCTCTCATGGTCGCGCCGTGCCAGGAAGGTGCGCGCGGCGTTGTGCACCTGCCACAGGCTGCACTTCCACAGCGCTGCGCCCTTGCGGTCGCGCCATATGGGCAGCCGCCCCAGCTCCGCCGCGCCCACTGCGCCCGCCGCCACGCACGCCACGGCGCTGCGGTCGGGCTCGTAGTAGTCGGGCACCGCCACGCACCCCACCGCCACATACCCCTCCGGCGCCCTCGGTGCCCAGATTGTCACCGGCGTGCACGCCCCGCTGTCTGTGTCCCGCCACACCTGCCAGCAAGCACACGAGGGGTGGGGGGGGAAGGAGGGGGGCGTAAGTTACAGGGGAGGTGACGTGGCTAACCTTGTTTGTCGCGTAGCAGGGGGTGGAGGCAGCGTGGGGGGGAAAGGGTTGCGGCAGAGGGTTGCGGAGAGAGGAGAGCGGAGAGCGGAGAGAGGAGAGCGGAGAGCGGAGAGGGGAGAGCGGAGAGCGGAGAGATGGCTGACCAGATCGAAGCCGAGAGGCGGAGCGAACTTGCCGGCGCCGGTGTCGAGATAGACGGTGCTCCTCACCGGCTGGTCGTACCCTGGTGTTGCCACGTCCCCCACCGACACATACCTGCCGTGGCGCAGCGCAGCAAAAGGGGCAAGGAGAAGCTTGGGGGCAGAAGGATTAGGGCAGAAGCAGGCAATGTTGAGAGAGAGGGCAGAGGTAGCACGAGGGAGGATGAGCAAGGAAGGCAGCATAGACACAACAAGTGACAAGCGACTCAAGGTTACTGTCAGAAAAGCTCGGAAATTTCTCTAGCCGCTGCTGCTCTCACTCATCCCACCGCATTCATCCCGCCGTGCTGCTCGCACTCATCCCACCATGCTGCTCGCACTGACCCCACCTCCCACCAGTGGTGCCCTCACTCACCCTGGGCGCAGGATGGGGCGCCAGATGGATACGGGGAACTTCTGGCTCCACACCGCTCCCTGCACCATGGGGGCGGGGAAGGGGGGGGGTCAAGGAGGGGGGCAACCACATCAGTTCACACACATGCACGCCCTGCTGCCACCTTCAGCTTAATTGCCTCTCACCTTGTCCCACCACATGAGCTTGAATGCCTCTCACCTTGTCCCACCACATGAGCTTGAATGCCTCTCACCTTGTCCCACCACATGAGCTTGAATGCCTCTCACCTTGTCCCACCACATGAGCTTGAATGCCTCTCACCTTGTCCCACCACATCAGCTTGAATGCCTCTCACCTTGTCCCACCACATCAGCTTGAATGCCTCTCACCTTGTCCCACCACATCAGCTTGAATGCCTCTCACCTTGTCCCACCACATCAGCTTGAATGCCTCTCACCTTGTCCCACCACATCACGTTGAATGCCTCTCACCTTGTCCCACCACATCAGCTTGAATGCCTCTCACCTTGTCCCACCACATCAGCTTGAATGCCTCTCACCTTGTCCCACCACATCACCTTGAATGCCTCTCACCTTGTCCCACCACATCACCTTGAATGCCTCTCACCTTGTCCCACCACATCAGCTTGAATGCCTCTCACCTTGTCCCACCACATCAGCTTGAATGCCTCTCACCTTGTCCCACCACATCAGCTTGAATGCCTCTCACCTTGTCCCACCACATCACCTTGAATGCCTCTCACCTTGTCCCACCACATCAGCTTGAATGCCTCTCACCTTGTCCCACCACATCAGCTTGAATGCCTTCACCACAATGGCAGGCGGCCCATTCACGTCCGCCCCTACCACGTCCCCGAAGCTGCCTCTGCCCGTCATGGCACGCGGCCGAGCGGGGCCGGAGGCAGGAGCAGCGAGGGAGGGGCGGTGGCGGGAGGAAGGGGAGGCGAGGTCGCCGTGGCTGTCGGCCTCCAGCATCACCTGCCCCGCGCCGCCCACCAGCGCTCCAAACGTCGCCATCACCGGCACCACCACCGGCGCTGCTGGCCCTGCCAGCAGCCCCAACGCCGCCCCAGACGCCGCCCCCGCCCCTGCCCCCGTGTACGGCCGACTCTCCTGCCGCCGCTTGCGCGTCTGGGAGGACCAGGAAGGGGATGGGGGGGCGAGGGATGGAGAAGCTCACACCGAGATGACTCACTGGCTGTATAATTAGGCAACTGAGCAGGCACAACAGTGGCACCTGAGCAGGCACAGCAGTGGCACCTGAGCGGCGACGGTGGCCCGATCGGGGCCGAACTGGTCGAGGGCGCGCTGGATGGCGTCTCGCACTTGCTGTGCCTGCTCCGTGCCTGCCTGGCACAGCACCACGCGGGCGATCTCCTTGGCGTCCAGCAGCCGCACGTCTGCTGACCACTCCCGCAGATGCAGCACAACACGTGACGGCGGGGCGGAGGGCGGCTCATCGCGGCCGCGCATGACCTCCAGAGACAGCAGGTCGCCCCACGCCACGGCCCACACGATGCTGCACGCCTCCCGAGTCAGGTCCGGCTTGCGCCCCCCTGCCAGCGCTCCACCGCCCGGTTGCTGCAGCACATGCAGGCAAGAGCAGTGGGAGGGGAGCACAGCACATGTTGGATCAGAGTTCCCACGAACCACCAGCCATGTGATCACTTGCTAACCTTCGCACCACGTGCCCCGTCAAATCTCACATAATTTAACCCATTTGACCCTTGTGCCTTAACAATTTGTTACAACCCATCTTGTGCACCCACAACAAACACCAGCTCCCCCGTTAAGCCATCTCGCCCCTCTACCCCCCTTCTTTCCCACTCCCATCTCCGTGCACCTAACAAACACCAGCTCCCTCCGTCCTCCCTCCCACCCCTCTCCATTTCCCCCCACACCCCCCCTCCCGCCACTTACCTCGAGCAGCATGGTGCGCTGGTGGGTGATCATGAGGATGCGGCGCGCCGGCAGGTGGAAGTGGTCCTCGTACGCGTCGCTGAGGGCGAACTTGCCCTTCTCTCGGATGTCAAACACGCTCGCGCCCGTCAGCGCGCCCCACTCCGCCAGCTGCAGGATGCTCTGCCCGCGCGCCGCGTACTCATCATATGGCCGCACCACGTGGTCGCCGCGGATGGCACGCGGCAGGCGGCGGCGGCGCAGAGCGAGCTTGGCAGTCATGGCGGCGGAGAGGCGCGCGCGCTCGGCGTTGACGCCGTCCGTGGTCTTGCTCACCAGGTCCAGCACGCCGCTCACCGGCTGCGCCGCCGCACCGATCAGCCCGCGCCCCATGCCCGCCACAAAGCCCTCCACGCCGCCGTCGCGCGCGCCCTCAATGGGCTTGGTGAGGATGCCCGTGACCCCGCGGAACAGCCCCTTGGCCAGCGCCTCCCCGCCCTCGCGCAGCCCGTCGCCCAGCGAGCCGACGGCGGCCTTGGCGTCGTGCTTGTGGCGCGCGCGGATGAAGGCGCGGTCCATGCTCATGCCCGCCACGGCCTTGCTGACCTGCCCCACCACGCTGCTGGCGTTGCCCAGCACGTCCAGCCCCGACAGCAGGCGGAACGGCTGCGCCAGCAGGTCGTTGCTCACACTGCGCCACGCCTCCGCCCACACCTGGCTGCGCCGCAACACCACCCCCTCCCGCACCCGCGGGGACAGGCGGATCTGGCCGGCACAGAGGAGGGGGGGGGGGTTGAGTGAGAAGTGAGAGGGTGCACTGAAGAAGATGGCAAGCATTGTGAAAACAAGATGGTTTGATCGTGACCGTAGCCATGCCACCTCACCTGCATGTCACTCCCATACTCTCACCGGCACGTGTGCAGTGGTGTGAGGCTCACCGGCATCTCATCGGTGTTGCCCATGGAGGCTCACCGGCATCTCATCGGTGTTGCCCATGGAGGTGAGCACGGACGTCCAGAAGCCCATCATGTAGCGCGGGCGGTGCAGCGGGGACATGGCCATCGTCAGCTTCAGCCGCCCCTCCGAGATGTTCAGCAGCCTGCCCACACCCACGCATACGCATGCACATAGAAATGGGTGGGGTGAGGCAGTGCGGACTGCAGCAAGCAGAATGGAGACCCAAATTCAAGCAGGCTTCCAGTTGGAACACCATTCCTCACTGCATGCTACAAGCCCTGCCAGAATTGTTTTTGGTAATTCGTCTTTCCACCAGTGTTCCAGGCAGGTCATGTCAACACGTGAGACGTGAATACCCAACATGTGCACTGCTCTCACCCGACGTGCACGCGCGGGTCGAGGGAGACGGAGGTGGGTTGCGGGGGGGGCGTCGAGGCGGTGGGCGGAGAGGCGCTTGACCATGTCAGCGAGACGCCAGATGATTGGCTCGTGGATGTTCACCAGCCAGGCGGCACTCGGTAGCTAGCAGAGGGGGGTGGGGAGGGAGGGAGGTCCACATTCTTGGTTGGTTTTGGGGCTCCAACAGGCGAGAAGGGGGCATGGGAGAGGGCAAGGCGAGAGGTTAGGAAAAGAACGCAGAAGACGATGCTATGGAGGCGTGTGTGAGGTGGGGAGGCAGTACCTGCAGGCCGATGTAAGGGAACGACTGCTCATCCTCGTCCCGTGCCGGCCGCATGGCCACAGTGAGCTTCAGCACGTATGGCTGCACCACCCCAGGTGGATCCTCAGGTGCCAGCAACACGGGCATGGCCGTCACAGCCAGCTGGTTGTCAATCTGCAGATGCCCCACCTGCAGCTTCACCCGGCTCACCCCACCCGACCCACTCCCCCCCGAGGTGCCTGGGCGTGCGGAGGAGGGGGCGGTGGAGTCGAGGGAGAGCAGGGCGCCGGTCATGGAGATGTAGAGCAGCTCCTCGGGGGTGGCGTCTACTACTGACACGCCACACTCCTCCACCTCCACCACCACCACCACCCGCCGCTCCCCTCCGCCCCCCGCCCCCTCTGCTGTCGCCACCGCGCTGGACCCCTCGCTCCCCACCGTGAGGGCAGGGGGAGGCGCGGTGAGGAGGGAGGAGGGCGTGAGGGAGAGGGCGAGGTGGACAAGGGAGGGGTCGGAGGGGCGCCAGTCGTGCAGGCACACGCGCATCACACACCCCCCACCCGACGGAGCGGGCTCTCGGGCGACGGTGACGAGCAGCGGCGCGACGGGGCGGCCAGAGGCGTTGGTGGCGGGCTCGAGCACAGCGGGGTCGTCGATGGCCACGCGGCGCGCCGTGGAGGAGTGTGCGCCGTCCACCATGAGCTCCAGCAGGCGCAGCCCGCGCCCGTCCTCCCACGCAAACGACTTGGCCGCCCCCACCGCCAGCGCCTCCCACGCCTCGTCCCCCGCCCCCGCCTGCCGGTACCGCACCGGGAATAGCTGCGAGCGGTTCTCTATCCTGCGAGGGGGAGGGCAGGCGGGCGGATTGACATGCGGAGAGAAGTGCAAGGGCAGGAAGGACATCAATGATTGGTAGAAAGTGTCTTGAATATAGGGATATAGCAGACTGATAATTGCATCAACAGTAACTTCAAAACGATTGAGCGAACCTAATGTAGGGCCACACTTGATTGTACACCGGAACTTGAACTGAGATGAGATGTCGGGTCGATGGAAAAGGGGAGACTGACTTGTAGGGCCCATAGGGGGGAGCGAGTGTGAAGACGACATGGTAGCGGCATGCACTGGCGCCATCCACCACATCCGCCAGCAGCAGCTCCCGCCCCCGCCGCCCACTGCCGTCCCACGCCGCCCGTCCTATGGAGGGTGGGCGGCTGGGTTGCACGGCATGGCGCATGACAACGAAGACACTGCCATCGCCGTCGATTGAGAATGGGCGGCTCCAATCACAACCGTCCATGCGCACCTGAGGGTGGGAGTGGGACTCGAGAGAGTCGGATGAGGGCGGAGGCAAAGCCAGCAGGCAGATAGGAGAAGAAAGGCATGAAGTGGGGAGGCACAAGGAAGGTGGAGGAGATCCATGACCCATGCTGTTGTTAGATTATACTACTCTTCTGTATCCTGCATTGATCCTATAAACCCTAGGATAGAGATAGGCACCCAAACTATGTTTGGGTGCACAACTAGGGTTAACCCTAGTTGGGGGTTGGAACCCAACCTTGGTCCAATTATTGGCCTCCAAGGTTGGGTTGGGAGATTATTGGCCCCCCCAATAATGTTGGCCCACCTTTGGCCAACATCATTGGGACCCCCCTAATAATTCTCCAACCCAACTTATTGGTGGGGGGCCAATAATGTTGGCTAGGTAACCAACCAACCCCCCCTCTCTTAGCTTCCACTATGTAAACCCTCATGATTCCTAATCAAGTGACTGGTTCAATTCTAACATGCTATCAGAGCTTTTACGGCTAACGCCGCTCAAGATCCTAGGACCCCTCGCGCCACTTAGCGCACCTCTCGCCGGCTCTGCCGCACCTCTCGCGCCCCTTAGCGCACCTCTCGCGCCACTTAGCGCACCTCTCGCGCCACTTAGCGCACCTCTCCCCGGCTCTGCCGCGTCTCTCGCGCCACTTAAGCGCACATCTCCCCGGCTCTGCCGCGCCCCTCGCGCTTCTTAGCGCACGTCCGCCGGCTCTGCCGTGCCCCTCGCGCCATCTCGGCGCTCCTCTCCTCGCCTCGACCATCCGCCGCGACGAACGCGACCGTCAGCCGCGGACGCGACGAACGCGGCCGTCAACCGCCGACGCGACGAACGCGGCCGTCAGCCGCGGACGCGACAAACGCGGCCGTCAGCCGCGGACGCGACGAACGCGGCCGTCAGCCGCGGACGCGACGAACGCGGACAGCCGCCGCGGACGCGACGAACGCGGACAGCTGCCGCGAACGGGGCGAGCGCGGGCAGCCGCCGCGGACGCGACATCCGCGGACAGCCGCCGCGGACGGGGCGAGCGCGGGCAGCCGCCGCGGACGCGACATCCGCGGACAGCCGCCGCGGACGGGGCGAACGCGGGCAGCCGCCGCGGACGCGACATCCGCGGACAGCCGCCGCGGACGGGACGAACGCGGGCAGCCGCCGCGGACGCGACATCCGCGGACAGCCACCGCGGACAGGGCGAACGCGGGCAGCCGCCGCGGACGCGACATCCGCGGACAGCCGCCGCGGACGGGACGAACACGGGCAGCCGCCGCAGACGCGACATCCGCGGACAGCCGCCGCGGACGGGACGAACGCGGGCAGCCGCCGTGGACGCAGGCAGCAGCCGTGAACGCGACCAGACGGGGGAGTAACCAGCTGCGGACAGCACGCAGCTCATCTCCACCACTGATCGCGCCGTCCCTCCGGACAGCGTCGTCACCTCTAGCACCTCCACCCTCCCCTCCTCCCTCCCTCCCTCACTCGTCATGGCGGACGAACCTTCGTCACTTGAGCTCGCCTCAATAGACAAACTCGAGCTCCTCAACGGCACCACCGCAGTCAATTGGGTGTCGTTTGAAGAGAGCCTCTTCACGTACCTTGGCTCCGTTCGAGTGGGAGATTATTGCCTCCTTGACGTCGTCCTCGAAACGCCTCACGGCCTCCCTCCCACCCCGCCCCCGCTCCCAGGCTCCTCCCCCCCTGACGCCCCACCACTCCCGGACGAACCCGCCCCTCAAGCCCCCATCCTAGGGGCTTGGGAGGATGACCCAGACAGGTGGGCTCGCACCCTCAACAAGTACAACAAGGAGCAGGACGACTATGTCATCAAGGGCAGAGCACACGCGGCTGCCGTCGCCGCTCACGAAGCTGCTACTGCAAAGCTTGCAGAGTTTCAAGCCACCTCCGAAGCATACTCTACTAACCTTCGTAAGCACCACTCCGATACTGCTGCATGGCGCATTGCTGACCACCGTGCACTCACTGTCATCTTCTCGTGCATTCCCTCCTCTCTTAAACGTGACCTTCGCCCTCCATCCTCCCCCTCTCTTTGGAAGTCTCTCTCCTCTCAATATGATCGTCAGGACTTACGTTCCCTCCTCTCCCTCTTTCGCACCTTCCAAGACATCACCCTTGACTCCTCCCTCAATGCCGCCTCCTTCGCTCGGCATCTCACGGATACTGCGCAACGCCTCAATGATCGAGGCATCTTGATCTCACACACCCTTCTTACAGCACGCATCCTTGACAGCCTCCCACCCACCTATGACACTTACCGCATCAACTTCACCACCCAGCACATTCGTCCTCCTCCTATGGCTGTTACCATCGACTGGCTCCTTGACAGTGAGGCTGACCTCCTACGTGACTCTGCAACGGTCAATGCAATCCACGCTCGCAAAGGAACCACTAACGCCGGCGGAAGCAGCAGCAGTGGACCTGGACGTGGCTCAAACGGAGGTGGTCGAGGAGGCGGTCGCGGAGGCGGACGAGGAGGGCGCACTGGGGAACGCGGCAGACGTGGAGCAACTACTCCATCCACAAGTGGGTTTCCCCCGTGCCAGTACGTCATTCGTCAAGGCCCCAACAAAGGTCAGACCTGCAACCAGACCACTCACCCAACTGAAACGTGCTTCAAAGCCCTCACTGATGAATGGCTTGCACGCAGCAACACAGGCCCCCCTCCACGTTGGAACACCATCACCCCTCGCCCCACCCCTCATGACATTCGCACTCTCTCCACCTATGCTCCCTCTCCACCTAACCTCCATAATGTCCTCGCTCAGCACCTCTCCCCTCACGTCCTCCAGCAAGTCCAACACCTTCTCCCCACACCCACCACCACCCCCACGCCCTCCATCCCCATCACTCCGCCTCCACCCACGCCCCCACCTCAAACCCCTCCCTCCCCCTATCCTCCTCTCTATCCTCCTTATGCCGGCTGGCCCTACCCTCCCTACTGCCCATCTATGTATGGCCATGGAACTACCGCAACTGCTGCAACTGCCGCAGCTGCTGAACAACCCACCTCCTCCTCTCACCCCCCCCGGCTTCACACCGTTTCCTTCCACGGGCTTCATAGGTCATGTCACTACTGCTAGCTCTTGCAATGATCCTATGTATGCCAATGCTATTAATGAGTCCTCATTCCAGTACTCCGTGTCCTCCTCCTCCCCTCAGCCCTTTGAGTTCATCCTTGACAGCGGAGCCACACACACGGTCCTTCGTGATGCAGGCACGCTCTTCCCCCTCTCCACCCCCTCCACAATCTATGGGGCTGACTCAAGCTTTGCCATACAAAGCCGTTACACCTCCACACTCCCCTGTCCCCTCTTTCCCTCAGGTACCGTCACAGGTCTCAATATCCCCTCCTTTCGTAACAACCTGTTATCCCTTGGTGCCCTTTCAACAGCAGGTGTCACCACCTTATTCCCTGGTCACGCAGCATATTGTGACTTATTTCACACCTCCTCCGGACGCTTCCTCTGCCGTGTCCATCGGTGCCCCTCCACCCACATGTACACCTTCCGCATCCCCCGTCCCACGCTTCACCAACTCTCCACAGCCCATCCCCCCGCCCCTTCCCCTCCTCTCGAACCTCCCGCCCCCCCTCCCCCCTTCCCCCTCCCCCTCCCCCTCCCCCTCCCCCTCCCCCTCCCCCAACTCACCCTCCCCCTGTCACTGTCGTGATCTCACACACCCCACCATTCTCCTCCACCATCGCCTAGGCCATCCCAACTTTGCCACCCTTCGCCGATCCATCCTCACTAAACTCCTTGACGGTCTCCCCTTACCCTTTCCCCCCTCCCTCCTTCCCCCTCCCCTCCTTGCTCAGTTTGTGTTGAAAGCAAGCTGAAGCAACAACCACACACGAGTAACCCCTCCTTTTCCCTCCAACCCCTTGACCTCGTCCACATGGATCTTTGGGGCCCTAACCCTTCCCCCACCAGGCAAGGACATCGCTATCTCCTCATCCTGGTGGATGATCACAGTCGTTACTCCTCCGTCACCCTCCTTCGTACGAAGGCGGAGGCCCCGGATGCAATCACTGCCTGGGCTGAACAAGCACGCAACCACTTCGGTCGCCCTGTTCGCCGCTTCCATTCCGATGGAGGCGGTGAGTTCCTTAACCGCACCTTGTCCTCCTACTACACCTCTCACGGCATCCTCCACACCTACACTCTCCCTCACTCCCCTCAGCAGAATGGTGTGGCGGAGAGCCGCGTTCGGGAGATCACCAAAACTGCTCGTGCCTCCTCGTTCACGCCTCCTGCCCACCTTCTCTTTAGGGCTATGCCATCCTTCACGCTGCCATCCTCACTAACCTCTACCCCCACCCTTCCCGTCCCACCTCCACCCCCACCGAACTATGGACCTCCAGCAAGCCTGACATATCTCCTCTGCGTGTCTGGGGTTGCAAGGCGTATGTCCTCATACACCCTGCCGATCGCTCACGCGCACGTGGAAAGCTTGCGTCCCGCACACTCCCCTGTGTCTACCTTGGACACAACTCCAACTCACCTGACTACCTTTTCCTCCACCCCCCCTCAGGCCGCCTCATCCGTAGTCGGGACGTGGTCTTTGACGAGGCCACCCCGTACTACACCTCCCCCTCCGCCCCTAACCCCCTTCCCCCATTTCCCCGGCCCCTTCTCTGGACTGACACCCTGCCCCTCCTCCCGTCCCCTGCCATGACCCCTCCCCCCGCTCCTCCACCCCTCCCCCCTCCACTCTCCTCCAGCTCCTCCGGCGACATCCTTAACCCACCCCCCCCCTCCCCCTCCCACTCCACTACCTCACCTTCCGCTGCAACTCACCTCCCTCCTCCTCCTCCCCCTCCTCCACCTCCCCCGCCCCCTTCCCCTCCATCCCCCCTCCCCTCCTCTAATCCGCCCCCCCCCCTCCGCCTCCCCCCCCTCTTCCCCAACGCCCCTCCCCTACCCTTGTCCTTCCCCGCTATCCCAACACCCGCTCCCTGGACCCCATCTTTGGTTCCCCACAGACTTCCCCCCCCTCCCTCCTCGCCCTCACCAGTACTTCCCTCCCCCCCCGCTTCAGCCCCCTCACTCCAGATCCACTGCGCAACCGCTCCACACTCTTGACAGCACCACCGCGCAGCCGAGCAGCAGCACTTCCATGTAGCAGACTCGACCTTCAGCGCAGCTGTCTTGCATCTTCACCACCCCCTCTTCCTCCTCCTCTCTCTCCTCTCCTCTATGAAGACACCCACGACGAACTCCTCTTCCTCCACCTCCTCGCGCCCTCCATCGCCCCCATCGTCCGCACCATGGCAGGCACTCCAGTTCTTCTCTTCTCGGGCAACCCCACCATCTTCGAACCCACCACGTACGAGGAGGCAATTGCCTGCCTCGACGCGCCGCTCTGGATTGAAGTCATGGTCAAGGAAAGCAACGCCTTCATCCGCAACCGCTCCTTCATCGATGTCCCTCGCCCTGCCAAGACCAATGTCGTCAAGGGCAAATGGCTCTTCCGTGTCAAGCTTCTCCCTGGCGAAGACCCTGTCTACAAAGCTCGCTATGTGGCGAAGGGCTTCACGCAGAAGCACGGCTTTGACTTCTTTGAAACATACTCACCCACTGCTACCCCACCGGTCGTTCGGGTGTTCCTCGACTTCGTCGGCAGACGCGGCATGCTGCTACACTCCATGGATGTCACTACCGCCTTCCTCCAAGGCGACCTACACGAACTCATCTTCATGGAACGCCCCGAAGGCTTTCATGCTCCACATAACCCGTCCACCGTTTGGAAGCTGCTGCGGCCCGTCTACGGCCTCAAGCAGGCACCCCGGGAGTGGCATGCCAAGCTCTCTTCCACCCTTCACGAGCTTGGTTTTCGCCCCTCCCGAGCGGCCTCCAGCCTCTTCCTTCGGACGGCTCCGTCACCTTTCTACATTCTCGTCTACGTCGACGACATGCTACTAGCCGCTGACACATATGCTGAGATGCAGGAGGTCAAGGACGAACTACAGCGTCGACTCGCCTGCAAAGACCTGGGGGAGGTTCGCAACTACCTTGGCATGGAGATCACCCGCGACCTCAAGGCCATCTCCCTCTCTCAATCCTTCTACATTGAGAAGGTCCTTGAGAGGTTTGGAATGTCAAAAGCCAAGCCCATCGCCACCCCGCTTGCAGTTGGGCACCAGCTCGCGCCCCCTAACACCCCCACCGACTCCTCAAACCCCTATGCAGAGCTTGTCGGGGCCCTGATGTACGCCATGGTCTGCACCCGCCCCCACCTTGCCTACCCAGTCAGTGTTCTGGCGCGATTCGTTGGTGTCGGCAGGCACACAGAGGAACACATGACGTCGGCCCGGCGTGTCCTACGCTACCTTCAGCACACGAAGGATTACACCCTCACCCTTGGTGGAGCAGACCCGCCGGTTCTCATTGGCTTCAGCCACTCGTCCTGGGCGGACTCACAGCCTGACCGTCGCAGCTCACAAGGATATGGCTTCACCCTTGGGAGTGGCCTCATTAGCTGGCGCTCCACCCGCTCCTCCTCCATCGCCCTCTCCTCGTGCGAGGCTGAACTTTACGCGGTCACGATGGCAGCACAGGAAGCACGCTGGCTCACCTATCTCCTCACAGACCTTGGCTCACCACAGCCCTGTCCCACTCTCTGGTGTGACAACGCCAGCACCATCCACCTCACCAAAGAAGCTGTGTTCCATGGTCGCTCCAAGCATATCGAGCTCCGACACTACTTCGTCCGCGATCTTGTCCAGGATGGTCACATTACCGTGCGCAAAATCGACTCGTCCTCCAACCCCGTGGACATATTCACTAAAGCCCTCGGCCGCGCTACTCACTCGGCACTCTTGCCCCTCCTGGGCCTTGCTCCCCATGGTGACTGATTCAGGGGTTGCTGTCTTATCTCATCCAGGTTTATGGATCTATGCAGGCTAAGGGGTTGTGTTAGACTATACTACTCTTCTGTATCCTGCATTGATCCTATAAACCCTAGGATAGAGATAGGCACCCAAACTATGTTTGGGTGCACAACTAGGGTTAACCCTAGTTGGGGGTTGGAACCCAACTTTGGTCCAATTAGTGGCCTCCAAGGTTGGGTTGGGAGATTATTGGCCCCCCTAATAATGTTGGCCCACCTTTGGCCAACATTATTGGGACCCCCCAATAATTCTCCAACCCAACTTATTGGTGGGGGGCCAATAATGTTGGCTAGGTAACCAACCAACCCCCCCTCCCCTAGCTTCCACTATGTAAACCCTCATGGTTCCTAATCAAGTGACTGGTTCAATTCTAACAGCTGTGCTGTGCATCACCCAACCTGCACTCACTGCCCACGCAACACCCACCGCCCACGTGGCACCCACCTGCCACCATGGCACCCACCTGCCACCATGGCACCCACCTGCCACCATGGCACCCACCTGCCACCATGGCACCCACCTGCCACCATGGCACCCACCTGCCACCATGGCACCCACCTGCCACCATGGCACCCACCTGCAAGTGTTCAGCCAGCCAGATGGACTCCCACACGATGGGCTTCATCGAATCAGCAGGCGCCAGGTGTCGGACGATGTTGCCGTCCGCCTGCCTGATGTGCAGCGGCCGCCCGGTGTGGTTGGAGAACACCGTGTGCGGCTGCAGGCGGATCACCTGCCAGCCGGCACCAGCCACACACACACGCGCATGGGGGAGCACGGGGATGCACACAGTCATGATAGCGTGGAGCGTGAGAGCAAGTGCATTGTGGGGAGGAGGAGGTGAGTGCAGCGAGACGGAGAGCCATGCAGAGAGGCCTCTGGTGCATGTGAAGTGGGTGGGGGTGAGAGGGGCGCGGTACCTTGGTGCCTTCGTAGCGCAGCGAGGACATGTCGAGGGACAGCGAGAGGCGCAGATAACTGCCTGCTGCGTCCACCGCCTTGAGGTCCGCCCGCTCCATCTGCTCCCGGCCCCCAGGGAGGACATGCATGGCGCAGGGAAGAGCGAGGGGGGGGAAGGGGGGGAGGGGGGGAGGGCAGGTGAAAGCAAGAAAGGAGTTGAGGGAAGGGAGAGTAAGCACATACAGTGTTGAGACGGAAGTTAAAAAGGGTGTTTCCATGCAGGCAATCACGTGGGCAAAAACAGCCAGAGACCACCCTCCGACGCACGACTTGTCCAAATTGTCTTTTGTGTGACATGGGGGGGGGGGCCAATTGCACCTTGTCCTGGAAGGCGGTGAGGGGGATGGCGGAGCTGAAGACGCCCCCCTTGGAGAGCGCCACAGCGAGTCCCACGTTGGCCACGGAGGGCAGTGAGAGCATGACGGCCTGCTGCTGCGGGGCCTCCTCGATGTCCTCCAGGCTGCGCACCACCTTGCTCGCCCCCACCGCCCCCACCCCCGGCGCTGCCGCCGCCGCCGCCACGGCCTGGCGCGTGCTGGCGGAGGCGGAGAGGCTGAGCGCGCGCGAGGAGAGGGAGCGCGTGGGCATCTGCCACAGCGACTCCGCTGCTGCCGCCGCTGCTGCTGTGGCGCCCGGGGGCGGCTCGATCTCGACGATGCGGCAGGCGAGGGGCATGGAGGAGTGGTTGGCGAGCCAGAAGGGCACAAACACCCGCACCACCCGCGCTGATGCCTCTGATGCCCCGCCACTCACCTCCAGATTCACATGCAGGCGCCTGCAACGTGGGGGGGAGGGCGCACAAGGGTGGCTTGAAAGGCTGAATGCAGCAGTGACACAGAGATTGCAGGTGCAACGGATGAACCCGCTGCAAGCTACAAGGTGCAAAGTGCAAAGGACGCATCGTTTGTGTCCAATTTTACCTCTTAAGCACACCTCACCCACTCCTCTGCCTTCCCTTCTCCTCTAATTGCTAGCTCTTCCTGCCCCCCTCCTCTCACCGCCTGCTCTTCCTGGCCCCCCCTCCTACACTGCTTGCTCTGCCTACCCCCCATTTGCTCTCACCGCTTGTTCTGCACGTTGGTCATCCAGAAGCCACCCGGCACCTCGTGGGTGAGCGGGTCCCACAGCAGCACCGCATCCTGTGCGCTCATAGGGGGGAGAAAAGGGGGGGGAGTGTGTGCAGCATGTGGATTGGCTGTGCACGCACGCACTCGCAGGCGGAGTGGGGTGCAGGGGGAGTGCAACCAAAGGAGCACAAGAAGAACAACTAATGGGCAGCAAGGGCTGCTGCACTGCACTCACCTTTTCCTGCTTCCAGCCACCCTGAGGCAGCCAGGAGAGCAGCACGGGGCAGCGGATGTCAATGCTGTACGCATGCACCGCCTCGCCTGGCCCCACCACGCCATGTTGCCGAGCCACCGACCGCGACGCGCCCACCATGCTGCCCGCCCCCTGGGCCGCGCTGCTGCTGGGCTTCTCCCACACGAAGTACTCCGCGCTGCATGGAAGCCGGTTCTCCAGCTGCAGTGGCGCCCGCAGCGTCACCCGCCAGTCCACCACCCCCGCCGCCCCCATGCCCTCCCCGCCCTGCAGCTTCACCCCATCCGCCTCCAGGCAGAACCACCAGCACCCGCGCGTGCCGCGGCACTGCAGCAGCTCCTCGCGCTTGCCGCCCTTCTCCCACGACGCCGCCCGCATTAGGTCCGGCAGCACAAACGCTGTCGCCAGCTGCTGCCGCCGCGCTGCCTCCGCCCTGCTGCCCGCCCCCGCACTGCCCTCCCCACCGCTGCCCGACGCCCCAGGCACCAGCCGGCTCCACCCGTACTTCTCACTCCCTTTGCTGCTGCCTGCCGAGCCTGCAGCAGCCTTGGGCCGAACCTGCAGGCACCAGTCGGAGCCGGGGGAGAGGCAGCCCCAGGGCAGCGAGAGGGAGTCACCGGGAGCCAGCGTCCCCAGGGCCGTGCGCACGTGCTCCTTGGGCGCACCCGACGGGCGGGGCAGGCGGCGCCGCGTGCGCGTGAAGCGGCGGCGGCGCACAAAGTCAAAGGGGCCCTTGCTGTGCGCCACGTTCGCCAGCGCGTCGGGTGACGCCAGCGAGCGGAAGTCGGGCGCGTACAGCCACCCCTCCATGTCGCCGGGTGCTGCCTGGTCGCGGTGCCACGCTCCCACCCACGCCCACCCGCGCGGACACGCCTCGGGCAGGTCCTGGCACGCGTGGGAGAGGTCCAGCGCTGAGAAGCGCGCCGGGTCGCCGGGCATGAAGTGGCCGGGCCACAGCGAGCCCCACCCCAGCATGGGCTGGTACCGCTGGTTCTCATACATCTCCTCCTCCACCTCCTCCTCCGCATCCTCGTCTGCAAAGTCGAGCAGCACGAAGGGGCATACACACACGTCCACGGGCGCGTCCGTGGCGTTGCGCAGCAGCACCAGCGAGCGCAGCGTCACGCACTTGAGGCCCCCCCGCACCCCCAGCTCCGCTGCCACAGGCCGTCCCTCCAGTGCGAGCGCCAGGGTCATGATGCCGGCCATGGAGCGCACCCAACACCACTCGCCATCCGGGCGGCACGCCAGCTGGATCAGACAGTCCGGCTGCTCCTGGCCGGCCTCTGCCAACGCCTTCTCTTGCTGCTGCTGGTGGGCCAGCAGATGGCCGCTGGGGCCCACGGTGAAGAAGACCGCTGCAATGCGCAGGCGAGGCGAGGCCTGTGTGCACACGGGCAGCAGCAGGTGGCGGGCAGGGTGGTGGCAGGTGGAGAGGGAAAAGGTTAGTGAGCACAAGGCAGATGACAGGCTAATGTGGCCCAAACTCAGAACTCTAATGTCTTACCTGCTGCTGTTGTTGTTGTTGTTGTTGCTGCTGCTGCTGCTTCCTCTTGGGCGGGTGCAGCACCAGGGTGTGCTGAGTGGCTTGGGAGGCGGGGTGGAGACCGCCGATGCCGAGGGCGTCGGTGACGGCAGCCCAGTCGGAGAGGGTGGGCGCGGCGGCAGCAGTCATGGGCACAGCTGCCGTGCCCACCGTGGCCCCTCGCCCTGCGTTGGCCGCCTGGTTGCTCACCACCACCTCCAGCCGCGACTCCTTCTGCTCCCACCCTCCCAGTCACCCACCCACACCATGCCATGCCCCACCGCACAGGGGGGAGGGAGGGCAGCACACGGCACACAGAAGCATGCAGGGAGATGTGAGCGCACAGCAGCATGCAGGCAGGCAGGTGGCAGGACAGGGGATGGCCAGCCCTGTACATGTGTGTGTACAGTGGTGCGCATGTGTACAGTGAAGAACGTGCGTGCAGTGCAGTGACGCGCGTACACACAGAGACACAAACCTGGGCCGGCACTTCAAACACAAACACCTCGTTCCACTGCACTCGCCACAGCTTTGCTCTCCCGCCCTCGCCCCCTTCTCCCGCTCCGCCCTGCGCCCCTCCTCGTGGCATGGCACACCCCATGCCCTCGCGCGCATGCGGGCATGCCAGCCCCCCTGCGGGGCGGATGGCGCGCGAGCGGGCAGTCTGCGGCAGCTGCTGCCCCTTGGCCAGCGGCTGGGCGCCCGCCTGCGCCACGCGCAGCTTGCAGATGAAGTCCTCCCCGTTCAACTCGCTGCCCGGTAGGTCCTGCACACATGCAGTCATTGGGGCGGCACAAAAGGGTGGCAGGTGTGCACGGTGGCTGTAAGGACGAGGGGGAGAGCTTGGTGGGGCAGGACGGACCAGGGCAAGAGGAACGTGGCGAGTGAGTGTGTGAGCAACTCGCTACCGGGCCGGGGCCCCATACGCACTTCCATCCAGCATCTCCCACATCTCCATACCCTCCATCTAGACTCACCAGCCCAGCCCTAGCCCCGAACCTTATCCCACCACGTTTCACCAAACCCTCCCATACGCCTCACCAGCCCCACCAGCCCCTCTAGCCCGCCTCCCAGTGTGCCTCACCAGCCCCTCAATGAGGCGCAGAGCCATGAAGCGCCGCGTGCTGTGCCGGCGCTTGCCGCCCACACCAGCAACAGCGGAGGGGCGCAGCATGTCGGGGAACTGGAAGGGCGGCAGCGGCACGGACGACGTGTGGGCGGGCGGCAGCGTGTAGAGGTGGGCGAAGGCGTCCTTGGCGGAGCGCGCGTAGAGAGGGGCGCCCAGGCGGTTGTCCACAAGCACTCGCAGGGCGTCCTCCCTGTCCACCGCCACTCCCCCCTCCTCCCCTCCCTCCTTCCCCCCTCCTTCCCCTTCTGCTGCCGCTGCTGCTGCTGGTGATGCTGCTGCTGGTGATGCTCCCTGAGGCAAACATGTGAAGGAGAGAAGTGAAGTGATTATGGAGACGTGCAGGGTGTATTCGGATTGAGTGATGTCATCTTTTTATGCAGACAGATGCATGCACACATGCGCGCACGCACGCACACACACACACACACTCACACACACACACACGCACACACACACACACACACACACACACACACACACATGGCTGCACGTACACAGCCCCAGGCGTGTCTCACCTGCAGCAGGGCGCGCCTGGCGTCAGCCTCGTGCTGCACGAGCTTGCTCCACCCATGAGTGGCGGCAGTGAGGGCGTCCACACTGGTGGCCGTCACGTTCACGTTCACCACACTCGTCGCTGTCACCCGCATCTGCACACTGCCCGCCGCCCCCGCCTCCTCGCTGCCCTCGCCCTCCCACTCGTACCTGTGGGGCCGGGTGGCATGCACATGGGGCACTGCTGAGCACAGCCACCTGCCTGCCTGCCACTGCCACTGCCACTGCCACTGCCACTGCGTGGCGTCACCCCACCTTGACAGGCATGCTGCATGCGGTGGCTAAGAAAAGGCATGGCAAACAAATGCGGCAAGAAGGAAGACAACGCAGCAAGATTGGTGGCAAGTTGAGCAGCAGAAGAGGAGCGGTGGCAGTGGGGGGGCGGGTGGGGGGGTACTTGAAGATGGAGTCGAAGGGCTCGAGCAGCGGCTCCCAGAGGGCGAGGTGCGAGTTGAAGGAGGAGGCCGCCACGGATGTGAGCACCACGGCATTGAGCGCGTGTGGGCGGCCGTGCAGCGTCAGGTGTATGCCCTCCACTGTGACGTCCACCCATGGCACCATCTGTGTGGCCCATGCCCCATGCCCCAAAACGAGGCCCATGAATGCAAGGCCGCCATGGCAGGGGGGACAGCACACGTTGGAAGGAGCGCAGGCAGACATGAAAAGCAGGACATTCAGGATGACCATTGGCGGCATGTGCTTAGTGTGAAATGGCAAGCAGGAATAAGGGAGATAAATGGCCAAGGAATGTGAAGGGAGACGATGGGCATGGAGGGGGAGGGAGGGGACGGGAGGGGCGAGGAGGGGCAGAGGCGGCAGGGAGAGGCAGAGAGAGGCAGAGAGGCAGAGAGAGGCAGAGAGAGGCAGAGAGAGGCAGAGAGAGGCAGAGAGAGGCAGAGAGAGGCAGAGAGAGGCAGAGAGAGGCAGAGAGAGGCAGAGAGAGGCAGAGAGAGGCAGAGAGAGGCAGAGAGAGGCAGAGAGAGGCAGAGAGAGGCAGAGAGAGGCAGAGAGAGGCAGAGAGAGGCAGAGAGAGGCAGAGAGAGGCAGAGAGAGGCAGAGAGAGGCAGAGAGAGGCAGAGAGAGGCAGAGAGAGGCAGAGAGAGGCAGAGAGAGGCAGAGAGAGGCAGAGAGAGGCAGAGAGAGGCAGAGAGAGGCAGAGAGAGGCAGAGAGAGGCAGAGAGAGGCAGAGAGAGGCAGAGAGAGGCAGAGAGAGGCAGAGAGAGGCAGAGAGAGGCAGAGAGAGGCAGAGAGAGGCAGAGAGAGGCAGAGAGAGGCAGAGAGAGGCAGAGAGAGGCAGAGAGAGGCAGAGAGAGGCAGAGAGAGGCAGAGAGAGGCAGAGAGAGGCAGAGAGAGGCAGAGAGAGGCAGAGAGAGGCAGAGAGAAGAGAGGCAGAGAGAGGCAGAGAGAGGCAGAGAGAGGCAGAGAGAGGCAGAGAGAGGCAGAGAGAGGCAGAGAGAGGCAGAGAGAGGCAGAGAGAGGCAGAGAGAGGCAGAGAGAGGCAGAGAGAGGCAGAGAGAGGCAGAGAGAGGCAGAGAGAGGCAGAGAGAGGCAGAGAGAGGCAGAGAGAGGCAGAGAGAGGCAGAGAGAGGCAGAGAGAGGCAGAGAGAGGCAGAGAGAGGCAGAGAGAGGCAGAGAGAGGCAGAGAGAGGCAGAGAGAGGCAGAGAGAGGCAGAGAGAGGCAGAGAGAGGCAGAGAGAGGCAGAGAGAGGCAGAGAGAGGCAGAGAGAGGCAGAGAGAGGCAGAGAGAGGCAGAGAGAGGCAGAGAGAGGCAGAGAGAGGCAGAGAGAGGCAGAGAGAGGCAGAGAGAGGCAGAGAGAGGCAGAGAGAGGCAGAGAGAGGCAGAGAGAGGCAGAGAGAGGCAGAGAGAGGCAGAGAGAGGCAGAGAGAGGCAGAGAGAGGCAGAGAGAGGCAGAGAGAGGCAGAGAGAGGCAGAGAGAGGCAGAGAGAGGCAGAGAGAGGCAGAGAGAGGCAGAGAGAGGCAGAGAGAGGCAGAGAGAGGCAGAGAGAGGCAGAGAGAGGCAGAGAGAGGCAGAGAGAGGCAGAGAGAGGCAGAGAGAGGCAGAGAGAGGCAGAGAGAGGCAGAGAGAGGCAGAGAGAGGCAGAGAGAGGCAGAGAGAGGCAGAGAGAGGCAGAGAGAGGCAGAGAGAGGCAGAGAGGCAGAGAGAGGCCGAGAGAGGCAGAGAGAGGCAGAGAGAGGCAGAGAGAGGCAGAGAGGCAGAGAGAGGCAGAGAGAGGCAGAGAGAGGCAGAGAGAGGCAGAGAGGCAGAGAGAGGCAGCAGGCTCACAACGCCGGAGACGTCGTCGAAGAGGGTGAGGGAGACGCGGGGCGTGCGCAGGTTGGCATCAAAGTTGTCGGGCCGCTCCGGCCTCTCCAGCTCCGCCAGCCCATACCCCATCCGCTGCGGTGGCCGCCGCGCATCGCTGTGCACCAGAAACGTGCCCGCCTGCCATTAGGGTTAGGTTTCAGGGCAGGCGTGCGGATGCGGATGGCACATGGCATGAGAGCAGCAGCGCACAAGGCACAAGGCCAAGGGCTCAGTTAAACATGCAACACTGCATCGGTGGGGAAAGCGGGACTCAAGAATCAGGAATGCACTCTCAGAACAACTTTTACCCACTCCCTCCACCCCCACTCTCACCGCCCCACCCCCACTCTCACCGCCCCACTCCCACCGCACCGCCCCACTCCCACCGCCCCACTCCCACCGCCCCACCTGGTTGATGACGGGCCAGAAGCTGGCGATGGACTCTCCTTTGGGCGGCACACCAACAGTCCATGCCGGCCGGCCTGCAAAGCCCTTGGGCGCCAGCAGGTCAGCTCGCACACAGCGCACACCCAGCCCGGCAGAAGGGGGCTCGCGGCCGCGCGTCACCACACAGCCCAGCGCCACGTAGCCGGGCGGCGCCAGGGGGAACCATACGGAGGCCTCCTCTGGCCAGGCGGGTGCGGCGAGGGTGAGCTTGTGCAGGAAGCTGAGGGGCGCCGCCACGCGGCCCGAGTCCAGGTCGTCCAGCAGCAGCAGCCCCGCGTCAGGTGGGTCGAAGCTGCAAGGGGGGAGGGGGCCCGGGAAATTCGGGGCCAGTTCAGAGTGATGGCAGAGGACAGGCCATGGCTGTGCAGAGCTAGTGCATGCAAGGGTTGCAGTATGCGAGTGTGGCATGCAGGCATGAACATCACGGCAAGCTCCAGAGTGTGCTGCGCTGCTGCCTCACCCGTCCGCCACACAGTCGCCCAGCATGGCATAGCCCGGCACTGCCACCGGCCGCCAGAAGCTCACGTGGCTTGTCACGCCCGCCGCGCCCTTGCTCCACCACACGCGCTCAAAGCTCGCCGCCGGCACGAATGGCCGCGCCGCCGCCCCCGCCGCACCAGCCAGAGCGGAGGCGGAGGCAGCGAGGGGCGGTTGGAAGCGCGAGGAGGGCAGGCGGGCGAGCGATTCTAACCGCCCGGAAGGCACGCAGGTGAGCGACGTGGAGGTGGGGGAGTGAGAGGAAGCTTCTGGGTCGGTGTCATCAGGGTCGGGTGCGGTGGTGGCGGGGTGGAAGCGCAGATCCTCCCGCAGGTCCCTCAGCACGGCGGGTGGTGGCGGGGCCGTGCCCTGGCAGGCGAAGAAGGTGCGCATGGAGTTGCCTACCACCCACATGCTCGCCCCGCCCCCGGTGTTGCCACCCCGCTCCGTGCCGCTAGCGTCACTCGTAGGCGACCTGGCACCCGGGCTGATAAGCGTGTGATGGGGAAGCAAGGAGCAGGGGCACGGGATGAGCATGGTGGTAGAGATGGGCATGGGAGCAGGGGGTTACCTATCTCGCAAGGAGCGACGCGGAGAGAAAAAGGGGCAGCAGAAAACAAGGCGGAAGCGGATCGGAATGATGCAGCAGTAGGTACATGAGCGTGGCAGCAGGGAAGCAGTAATGGCAATGCAGGGCCCACCGGTAGAAGATGCAGTCGCTGAGGGAGGAGGGCGTGAGCAGGTCGCAGCGCACACAGTGCACCGTGGACACGTGTGGCGGCGCTCGCCCCACGGCCGCCACGCATCCCAGCGCAGCATAGCCGGGCGGCGCCAGCGGCAGCCAGATGCGGCAGTGCGTGTCGTCCCCTCCCTCCCCGCCCGCTGCCACGTCCGCTGCCTCCTGTGCTGGGGCGGCAGCGGGCGCGTGGGAGCACCAGAGCAGGGAGAAGCCGAGGGGGCGCTTGACACGCCTGAAGGCCGTGCTCACCGCCAGCACCGCGTGCTCTGGTGGCGCCGCCCTGCCATGTGTGGCACCCACACACGTAGGGGGTGGTGGGTGGGGTGGAAATACAAGAGAAGATGTGCGGAGGTGAAGAAGAAAAGAAGATGGCAGGGCAGCATGGAGACAAGGTGCAGAGGGAGGACAGCAACACGCAGTGCAGATGAGGGCAACACGCAGTGCAGATGAGGGCAACACGCAGTGCAGATGAGGGCAACACGCAGTGCAGATGAGGGCAACACGCAGTGCAGATGAGGGCAACACGCAGTGCAGATGAGGGCAACACGCAGTGCAGATGAGGGCAACACGCAGTGCAGATGAGGGCAACACGCAGTGGTGAGTGCCCCAAATAATTAACAGCTGAGGGAAACTCAGATCAGCTATGATGGGCTCACCCCACCGTGGCGCAGTCGCCCAGGATGGCATAGCCTGCAGGCGCACAGGGCCGCCACAGCGTGATGGGCTGCTCGCCCTCCCCTCCTTCCCTTCCCTCCTGTGAGTCTGTGCCTGTCAGCACGGGGGGTGCATGAGGAGAGAAGAGAGTGCACGGGGGGTGCACGGGGGGTGCACGGGGGGTGCACGACCAGGGTGCAAGGAGGAGGGCAAGAGTGGTGAGAGCACAGCAAAGGGCGGCAAAGCCATGCCTACTGCTGATGAGAGCACCGCACCAGAGAGAGACATGGCGAGCAAGCGCTGTCCGACTACCGAGAGTGGAGGCACCCACCGGAGTTCCAGATGCGGTCGAACTGCCGGCACCGCACCGCCACGGGCCCGCCGCCCAGCTTGAGGGCGGCAGCGGTGTCGGCGTGCAGGCGGTGCAGCAGGCGCAGCGAGTGGAAGGGCAGGCGCAGCGACACATCGGTGCAGGCGAGCTCGAGGGAGGTCTTGCCGGCCACGCACTCGCGCTCACAGTGGGCGTCCACCGGCTCCACCACCGCCAGCCCCGCTGCCGTCTCCACCAGCAGCCCGCGCACCGTCCCCTTCACCCACGTGTCCGCGCCCTTGGCCGCATACCTGCCCATGCAGTGAGGAGCGGAAGGGGGGGTGGGGAAGTGAGGTGAGGCGAGTTGCCCCACAGCGGCAGCGGCCGCTGCTGTTGCTGCTGTCCAGCGATGAGCCACTAACAGCTGTGCAACGAGTGGAGGAGGGGCACGGCTGCGAGGCATGGAGTGGATGGCGTGCAAGGCAAGCCCCACCCCCCTCCTCACACACCAGCCCAGCTAACCTCACAACAGGCTGATATGAGCACCCCTGTGAGCAGCAGTGAGAGCAGCACTCACAGCAGGCTGACGTCACTCACAGCAGGCTGACGTCAAAGGAGGCGCGCAGAATCCTCTCAGGGCGGAAGGGGATGCCGGCAGGCCACTTGGTGCTGTCGTAGAACGTCAGCTCCGGCCCCACCGCCTGGGAGAAGGGGGTATGGAGGGGCGGGGGGGGGGGGGGGTTAGGAAAGGGATTCGAACAAGAGGGGCATGTCTGATAGTGGGGTTGAGCGGAGGGATGCGGGTGTAAAGAGGTCACACCCACACCTGAGGGTAACACCAGTACAATCACCCACACCTGAGGGTAACACCAGTACAATCACCCACACCTGAAGGTACAGTCCGCGCACCTGAAGGTCAAAGGAGAAGGAGGTCTGCTCCGGAGGCACCTCAGCCTCCCCACCCACCCCTGCACCTCCTGCCTCCGCCCCGCTGCTCTCTCTGCTGCCTGCGCCCCCAGCAGCGTTGGGGCCAGGAGCGAGGGGGGTGTGGCGCCAGATAACCCCGTCCTCAGGGTCGGCAGTGAAGCTGCTGTCGCACCCCAGGTACACACTCTGCTCCCACGCCCACGCACTCTGTGCTCACGGTGTGTGAGGGCAGGGAAGGGGGGGAGGAGAGGGTGGAGAGATTTCGGGCGAGAAAGCCGCAGAACGTTATGAGGAAACACATGCGGTGAGGGCCTCCATGACCTGGAATGGCCAAGCATGAGGTGAGCATGCAGTGAGGTGAGGCAGGGTGGGAGCGGCGCACCTCCACAGTGATGTTCTTGAGGCGCAGGTGCTTCCCGTTGCCCACCACTATCACCGGCCCGCCCGCCACGCCCTCGCCCTGCTGCTTGCCCGCCGGCACGGCTGTGCCCCCCTGGGCATCAGAGGGCAGGAGGCGCAGCACCCCCCCGCACCCGTCGTACTCGTACTCGTCCACCCCCGCCGCCTCCGCTATCAGCTGCCGCTGCGGTGACACCGTCACCACCGCCTTCGCTTGTCGCGTCGTGCCACTTGTCAGCACCACAGCATGCGCCAGGCTGGCAGGGTCGTCTCGCTCGTCCCTGTCAGTGTCGTTGCCGGAGGAGGCAGCGAGCGAAGGGAAGAAGAAGTGGGTGACGGCGAGGAGGAAGTCGAGGGCCACCAGCACGCGAGGCCGCTGGAAGCGCAGCACCACGGCGCGCGCAGCGGGGCGAGTGGAGTAGTTCAGCACCACCATGCTCAGCGCCACTGGCGGTGACCCTCCCCCCATCTGGCGCCCTCTTCCCTCATCTGCCGCCCCCCCTGCCTTAACCCCTGCCGGCACTTCGCCGTGCCCCGGGGGGGCGGGCGGTGCATGGGAGTGGGCGTGCAGCGCGGAGCCCATCATGAGGCGCAGCTCCTGGCGCGTGGCGGCGCGGCGGTCGATGATGGCCATGGTGGGCAGTGAGAGCATCACCTCCATCTCCCGCGCACTGGTTGTTCGGTACTCCACCCACAGCCCCTCGATCTGACCACAGGTGTGTGGGGGGGAAGGGAGAAGAGGCAGAGGAGTATCCATGACGCACAGCATGTGGCAACCTGAAGCAGGGCCTGGCACTGCTACAGCAGGGCAAGGGAGTGACTGACCTGCGGGAGAGCACGGGAGCGACGGACCTGCAGCAGGGCGAGGCAGTGCACGGACCTGCAGCAGGGCGAGGCAGTGCACGGACCTGCAGCAGGGCGAGGCAGTGCACGGACCTGCAGCAGGGCGAGGCAGTGCACGGACCTGCAGCAGGGCGAGGCAGTGCACGGACCTGCAGCAGGGCGAGGCAGTGCACGGACCTGCAGCAGGGCGAGGCAGTGCACGGACCTGCAGCAGGGCGAGGCAGTGCACGGACCTGCAGCAGGGCGAGGCAGTGCACGGACCTGCAGCAGGGCGAGGCAGTGCACGGACCTGCAGCAGGGCGAGGCAGTGCACGGACCTGCAGCAGGGCGAGGCAGTGCACGGACCTGCAGCAGGGCGAGGCAGTGCACGGACCTGCAGCAGGGCGAGGCAGTGCACGGACCTGCAGCAGGGCGAGGCAGTGCACGGACCTGCAGCAGGGCGAGGGAGGAGTCGCGGGTGTGGCCGGTGAAGAGCTCCATCTGCACGTGCTGCACGTCCACCAGCACTCTGAAGTACGTGAATGCTGCCCCCGCCCCTCCTGCCCCTCCCGCCTTCGCCACCTCGCCTGCCCTCCCCTGCCCGCCTTCCCCTTGTGCCCCCTGCGCACCCTTGCCCTCGCCCGTTTGTCCGCCAGCCACAACAGTAGTAGGAGGGGGCGAGGATGGAGGCGTGGGCGAGCGCGGGGACGACAGAGAGGTGGGGCTCGTGACTTGGGCGGAGGGAGTGGGATGGGAGGGCTGGGTGGACGAGGAGGTGGACGGCGGGGGGAGGCGGAAGTAGGGTGGGGGCTGAGGGGGCTCGGCGAGGTTGGCGAAGAGGCAGTCGCAGATGATGAGGTACTCGCGGTGGCTCATCACCACCCTCAGCTCGCCCATCTGCTCCCATCAGCGCGGGGGGGAGAGGGGGGAGAACAGGGGTGGTGGACGGGTGCAGGTGCGTACAAGCAGCAATGGAGTGCTTGGAGACGCATGAAGGGGGCACTCACAGCAAGGAAGAATGAACGTGCAGCACGGCGTACAGTGGATGTGTGATGGTGGAAGTGGAAGGTGGGGGGGCATACGTGGATGTGGAACTGGTAGGTGGGCAGCTTCTTGAAGAGGTCTCTGAGTTGGCGCTGGATGGTGAGTGTCAGCCCCGCCATGCGCTCTATCATGGCCGCCCCCGCCACACCCTCCGCTCCCACCAGCAGACTCACGTCTCGACTCTGATGCATGCACGGCCAAACAGGGGTAGGGGGTGTGGAGCATCGGGGACATGGGACATGGGACATGGGGCATGGGGCATGGGGCATGGGCATGGGCATGGGCATGGGGCATGGGCATGGGCATGGGGCATGGGCATGGGGCACGGGGAATGGGGTATGCATGCGGCATGTGGAATGTGGTGTGGCGTGGGGCAAGGGGCACGAGGCACGAGGCACAAGGCACAGGGCATGGGGCGTGGGACATGGGAAGTATGGCAGGAAGGATGCGGGATGATGAAAGGATGGAAGATGCACCGGAAAGCATGGGATCAGGCAAAGGAGGCGATGGAAGCACCTCTCTCCAGATTCACCTCCATGGTAATCACATCTCACCTCCACTGTAGTCACATCTCACCTCCACTGTAGTCACATCTCACCTCCACTGTAGTCACATCTCACCTCCACTGTAGTCACATCTCACCTCCACTGTAGTCACATCTCACCTCCATTGTAATCACATCTCACCTCCACTGTAGTCACATCTCACCTCCACTGTAATCACATCTCACCTCCACTGTAATCACATCTCACCTCCACTGTAATCACATCACAGCGCACAGCACCGGCATCCTCAATGGACTTGCCACCACGCCACTCCACGCTGCTCCGGATGCCCATGTGCCCCAGCCCCAGCTGCATGAACCTGCCACCGCACACAGCACAGCACAGAGCAAAGCACACAGCGTTCGTATCGGGAGGGAGGGTCTGCAAATGTCAATGCCAGTCACTGCCCAAGCGCTCAAGAGAGACATGTCCCTCGAGCGCTCAGAGAGTGGAGTGGAGTGGAGTATGTGTGCAGGTGTGAACGGAGCAGCACCCTAGAGCAACTCCTGTCTGTCTGTGGCAATTCCAAGCAACTGACTCTTGGCTGTCGGTGGTGCGAGGCAGAATGAGGATGGGCGCGTCAAGGGAGACGTTGTAGCGGATGCCGCTGCTGCCCGCCACCTCCCACTGCTGGATGCGCCGCTCGATGCCGCCCACCGCGTCCACCACTCGCACCACCATCTCCTGCCGCACCCCCGGCGCAGCCAGCCCCCAGAAGTACGCCATGAACTGCCCGGGGGGGGGGGAGGGGAAATGGGTGGGGGAAGGGGGGCGGAGGGGAGGGGCGTCATGCGAATCACAAGCAGCAAGTCGGATCCAGCCCCCCAGAAGTACGCCATGAACTGCCAGGTGCAGGCGGACGGGTGGGGGCGAAGAGGGGGAGATGTCAAGCAAAGCACAGGCATCGAGTGGTGATACATTACGCATCGCAGCGCCCTTGCACCCACTTGTTACCTCCTGGGACAGGTGGCCATGTGTGACTCACCTCTTGCACGAAGCGGTAGAGGAAGATGAGGCGCACAGCGGACAGCTTGCCATCAATGCTGTACTCAAAGCCCTCATAGTCGTCGTCGTCCGGGTTGTATGAGTTGTACTCTATCTGCTCAAGGGGCAGGGGTCGGGGGCACGCAACCATCCATGGAGTGTGGCAAGGTGGGAAGGGGAAGGCAGTGGTTAAAGGGGGGGAAACGAAGGGTGGAGCAGGGGAGCAGTGGCAGGATAGCGTGAGTAAGTGACAGAACTGATAGACTCAGCAGCACAGGTCACGATGGGCTCACCTCAACCAGCGAGGCGCTCTGCTTGTCCCGCAGGTCACAGAACCATCGCCAGGGGTGTGATGGTGGCAGCTGCAGGTTGCACAGCCGCAGATTGCCCAATGAGGCGTTGACACGTGTCGATGCCGGAAATACCTGAGATTGAGGCATCACACACGGAAAAAAAAATGTGCAAATCCGTGTCCTAGAAATAAGAAAAGGGCAAGAGGTGGAAAACAAAGTGAATCGTGGGATGGGAGAAATAGAAGCAGCACGATCAGCCTCTCCTGCTCACCTTGACCTGCACGCTCAGCCTCTCCTGTTCCAGCATGGCAAGCTGTCTGCCGTCCTCAAGGTTAAGGAAGACGCGTGCGTGCTGCATGGCCATGTGCAGCCCAAACACCACCCGCGCCTTGCCCCGCCCCAACAACCCCTTCACCGCCTCCCGCCCCATCTGCCCCTCCCGCTCCCCCTTCTCCTCCACACCCTCTCCCTTCCTCCCTTCATCCCCTCCCCTGTTGCTCCTGCCTTCCATCCCAGGGCTGCCAATATCAGCAGCGGAAGCAGCAGCCGGGAGAGCAGGGGCCGGGAGGTTAGCAGTGGGAGGCATAGGAGCTGCGCTTGTTGTGCCAGCTGGCGAGGAGGGGAGTGGTGGCGGTGAGAGGTAGGTGGAGAGCTCCATGAGAGCAACAATGGAGAGCCGGTTGCAGAAGAACTCGAGCGTTGCCATCTCCACTGCCACCTGCTTGCATGCACACAGCAGCACACGCACATGCATGGCAGCATACGCAGCACACACACGGCAGCACACAGAGAAGCAGCGCAGTGATATAAGGGTGTATAGGAGAGCATGGAGGAGGGGAGTGGCCGGGGAAGCATTGTGTGGACAAGGCAACAGTCAGAGTCTGAGCAAAATCCCAAACGCCTGTTCGGTTCGCCTCGAACATGTTCGAGGCGAACCGAACAGGCAATTTTTTTTGCCTAAATTGTTCGGACCGAACATGTTCGGTGTTCGGCCGAACATGTTCGACGTTCGCCCCAGAATTTCGGCTCTCCAAGCCGAACACGAACATGTTCGTGTTCGACTTGGGGGCCACGCGAACACCAAAAAGGTTCGCGTCAAAATTGGCCGCGACCAGATTTAGGTCGCGGCCAATTTGTGTTTGAGCTCATTTCGTGAGCTCAAACTCAGAAGTCGTTTTCGCCTTAGCGCTCCCTCACACAGCCGCCCTAGCCTCCTTGTTCTAGGTGCAAGCAAGTGCACGCTGATACTTGCAATGTACACGGACATTAGATCTATGCATAGGGTTTAACGTAGTGTAGGGTGTTTAGGGTTACTATTAAGGTTCAGCCAGCATCTCCGCAAAGGGCTCAAGTAGGGTGTATCCTACGCCGTAGGATTCGGATCGGGCATTTCAGAGACCTAACCGTGCGGGATAACGTTTAGGAACGTGCGGCACCATCCAACGCTACCGTTGCAGGAAGGGTGTTTTAGGGTTTAGGGTCGAGGGCGGAGTTATGGCTTCCAGGGCTGGTGGATCCATAGGCCGAGGTGCAGGCAGGGCTCAGGGCAGCGCACCGGGATCTCCACCACGACCTATGCAGGAGCGAGTAGGGGATGGACCGGGAGGAGCCGGCGCGATCTTCGTTGGGGGGTTGCTTACCGTACCGGCGCCGACCTCTCGTCGCTCTTTCCGTTACGACGGCCCTCGACCCCCTCCTTCGGGGCAGACGCAGACGCAGCCGGAGAGCGGCAGTGAGGAGGAGGATGAGGAGGAGGATGGTGAGGGTGAGAAGGAGGAGGACACTGAGGGGAGCGGGGGTGACAGCGAGGCGGCGTGGGACCCAGAGACGCATGGCGGTGGGGAGGGGGGAGATGATGATGATGAAGACCACGAGATGGATGGGTTGGAGCCAGAGGGGCGGGAGGAGGAGGTGGGAGAGGGTGGTGGAAGGTCGGCGACAGAGGCGGGATCACAGCATGTGCGTGAAGGGGGAGGGAGCGTGGGGGTTAAGGTGGGGGGGAGAAAGGCCGTGACCATTAGGGAGCCGAGGCAGAGGAAGAAGGCCAACAAGTTGAGGGAGCGGGCGTATCCCTGCACGTTCACTGGGGAGCCCTTGGGCGAGGGTGTGATCGCTCCCGAGTTTCTAGACGAGGACGAAGGGTCCGAGAGTAGTAAGGGGACTGGCAAGGGTAATAGGAAGCCGGGGTGGCAAGTAATGATGTTCGGACCGTTAGGGGCAGACGATAAGCGTCAGTGCAAGATTTGCACAGACAGGATTTCGTGGGAGCAATCCACAACAACCCCCGGCGAGCGGCACTTTGCGAGCTTCCACACTGCGCACATGCATGTGTGGCATCACCGTTACCACACCCCGTCCGTTCACTTGCCAGGGGAGACGTTTCCCCGTGGGGGCTACAAGGGAGTGCCAGATGGCTACGTCTATCAGTGGCCACATGCCAAGACTTGGCCGCAGCTCGCCAAGGGGAAAGGGATGGCGACTGGTGGAGGTCATGGGTCAGGCGGGATGGAGCGGTGGATGACAACCAAACTGGCCTCGGTGCAGCTACGGCAGGCGATCACGAAGCTGGTGGTCACCTCCGACCTCCCCTTCCGCATCGTCGAGGCCGAGGCTGTAAGTGCCCCATCCCATCCCATGCATGATTGGGCAAGTATGTGGTTAGTGGACGGGTCTGTCCCTTTGTGTTTTGACTGTTTGCGTGTGGCCCAGTGCAGCGCTATATTATTTTCATCCCATCCCCCTGACGTTTACTCCCCTCTCCCCCCTTGTCTCTACCCCTCTCCAGTTTCGTGAGCTACTCATCCTGCTAATCCGCAACTGCGCGCAGAAGAACTTCATCCCCTCGCGCTGGACGGTTTCCCGCGACACAGTGGTCTATGCGGCTGCCGCTCTTCAGTCAGCCATTGCGGAGATGCTGGCGAAGGAGGGGGAGCTGGGGTGCAGGGTGTCGTTCACCATCGACATGTGGACGTCGCCCAACAACAGGGCGTGGCTAGTGGTAACGGGTCACTGGATCGACGAGAATCACCAGCTGCGCACAATGGTGTTTGAATTCCGCGAGATTCACGGGCAAGCAGATGGCGAGGGTGGTTGAGGAGACGGTGGTGCAGTGGGGGTTGGAGACGCGTTGTCTTGGGTTCACCTCAGACAACGCCTCCAGCAACACTGCCGCTTTCAGGTGGATGTCGGAGGAGGGTGGTGGCCAGTGCTTCTTCAACTCGCGCATGCACTTCCGGTACGAAAGGGAGTGTGCGTGGGATGTGCGATGAGGGAGTCTGGGTGCGTCGTTCCTGTGAACATGTTGTGGTTGTAGTACGGGAGGGTGGGCCTATGCGGCTTGAGAGTGGTAGTGTTTCTCGGGTCTATGCCAATGTGTACTCACACTTCCCTTTCTCTTCGCCATTAATGTTTTGTGATGTGCGCAGATGCCTGGCACACGTGATCAACCTTGCAGTGAAAGCAGCACTCGCTGTGACCGCCATCCGCAAGTTGCTGAAGATTCTGAGAGAGATGGCGTCGTGGATAGGCTTCTCGCCGCAGCGCTCAGGGAAGTTCTTGGGCCTTCAGCGGACCCTGAACGCGCAGGGCAACCCCGCCAAACCGAAGCCGGCATTGAAGCTGGTGCAGGACAGTCCCACACGCTGGGGGTCGACCCACGACATGGTCGAGCGAGCTGGGGTTCTGCAGGAACCCATCTCTGTCTTCTTTGCCCAGACACAGGTGTGTGTGTGTGCCAGGTGTTGTGTATGCGGTTTTATGTGTTGGTATGTCGGTCGGGGTGTTTTGTTCTGGGACTTGCACCACTGTTGGCCATGCTTGACTAAACTTATCGGACCTCCAACAACCTCAACCACCCCACTTTCTACCCTAACACCCGCCCACCCATACGTTCTACCCGACAGGGCGTGTCGAAGGCTGACAAGGCGAAGATGGACACCTTGCGCCTGACGGACGCAGACTGGGAGACTCTGCATTCTATCAAGACCTTCCTCAGCCCATTCGCCAAAGTCTCAAAGGCCGCGAGCGGCGTACCCTACAGTGGCGATGGTCCTGCCGTACTACAACGGCCTGATCGATGCTATGGAGTCGCGCCTTGCCAAGGGGCCATCGGCTACGCTGAAGCCGATGATTGAGGCGGCGCTGGGTCTCTTGAAGAAGTATGAACTGATGTCAAGCAACGAGTTGTGGATCGCGACCTTCCTGGACCCTTCCATGAAGGCGGCGTGGTTCGACGACGCGCACTGGGAGACGCTGCATCCCGATACCGACCGGAGGGCGTGGCCTCGTCCCTCGTCAGGCGAGGTGATCCAGCTGGTTCGCGAACGCGTGGCCGAGTACCAGGCCCGGGCTACAGCGATTGCCCCTCGGCCGACCCCACTTGCCCCAATGACGGAGGAGGAGGAGGGGTGGGATGGTGCAGGATGACGAGGTTGGCAGGTACTTATCTGAGAGGGTGCGGTGCGACGTGTCAGCGTTGGAGTATTGGTGCAGCGCCACCAACATGCAGACGCTGAGGCGCATGGCCCGGGATTATCTTGCCATCCCTGCCACGTCCGCGTCGAGCGAGCGCGTGTTCTCCCTCGGCCGCAACCTCATTTCCTGGAAGCGGCACCGCCTAGCCTCTCAGAGGACGCGAGCTTCCATGATTCTCAGATCATGGTACACCTCACACCCTGGACAGAGGATAGGCGAGGGCCGCCGTGCAAAAGGCGAGGCACCACCAGAGTTCGCCATTGAAGGCGAGGGGGAGGAGGAGGACGACGAGTGGGAGGAAGAGGAGGGGGAGGAGGAGCAGGAGGGGGTGGGTGCTGGCGACACCTCTGACGCGGAGCATGCTGTTGTTGGTAGTAGCAGTGGTGTGCAGGCGTAGGATTTAATTTGACAGTGACTTTTATATAGGCAAAACATGATGGTGTCGTATGCTAGTGTGCGTTGCATGAACACATATACACCCTCCACCCCCCTATCTATCTTCCCAACCCTCCAGATTCCCTGTTTGACCAATGTGACTAAAACGAAATTGCCCACGGGCGAACTCGAACATGTTCGGTTCGAACATGTTCGAGTTCGCCCACATATACCAAATGTTCGCCCCCATGGGCGAACGGCGAACACCTCCTGCTTGCCAAATTGTTCGCCGAACCGAACCTTGTTCGGTTCGGGAAATGGTGATGTTCGAGCGAACTCGAACCCGAACGTGTTCGAGTTCGCCCTTTGCTCATCCCTAAGTCAGACTGTTTCGTGTCTCGCAGTGCAGCTGGGCGCACCTGAGTGTCAACACCAGTGTAGCTGGGCGATGACGGCTGGTACATGCCAATCTGCACCACCACAAAATCCCCCTCCTCCTCCTCCTCCTCGCCTCCCCCCCCTTCCTCCTCCTCGCCCTCCCCCTGCCTCGCACGTCGCTTGCTCGCCTCTGCGTGCTGCCACCCCATGTCGGGCAGCAACCGCCCCGCGCGGCCAAAGCTGGGCACATTGGCCGCGTCGCCGTCATCCAGAGCGAAGTCACGCGCGTCAAAGAACTCTGCTGCACCGTTGTACCCCCCGCCTCCATCGCCCTCAAGCGTTGCTGCGCCGTGGCGTGGCGTGGACGCCCCTGACGACGTGGGCGACAGCAGGAACTCCGCCTCTGCGTCTGCAAAGCCATCCTCATCCTCATCCTCCTCGTCCTCATCTTCCTCCTTGCCCTGCTTGCTCTCCTCGCTCTCCTTGCCTTCCGTGCCCTCCTCTTTCATTCCCTCATCCCCTGTCTCAGCAGCACCCTCCAGTGTCTCCCGTGTGCTCATGTCTGGCGCCACCTGCTCAGCCCCAGGCGCCACATCTGCACCCGCGTGCCTGCCACTCCCTCCACCACCACTCTCACCACCGCCGCTCCCGCCACTGACAGGCACCCCCTCCCCCCCATCCTGCCCCTTCTGCTGCTCCTCCCCGCCCGCGTGTCCCCCTCCTTTGCGCGGAGCAGCAGCAGCAGCAGCAGTGGGAGCGGCATGGGGGGCGAGCAGGGAGCGTGCCATGAGGCGGCAGGTGGGGGCGAGGGCCCCAGCGCCCTGGAAGAAGTCCTCCACCTCCACCTCGCGCACACCCACCCCCACCGCCACGTCCGCTGAACGCTGCTGCACCTCCACCTTCCCCCCCGCGGCCCGGATCTCGATTATCCTCTCCTCCTCGTCCCACGACGCCGCCCCTCGCCGCTGGGGGGGTTGGGTGGGTGACGCAGGGAGGCGGGCAGTGAGAGGAGGAAGACAGTGAGAAGTGCAGTGGGTGGAGCAGTGAGGACCGGAAGAGCACACACTTACAAGCACATCATACTTAATGACTTACAGCTGTGCCTCAACCCCGCCCACACAATGCAGCGCCTCATGCAACGCAAGCCGTCATGACGGGAGGGGCGAGACTCACAACGGAGCTGATGGCGAGGCGCAGGTCGTCCAGCGCGCCCATGATGTAGAGGAACGGCTTCTCCTGCGCGCCCCCTGATCCCGCCCCCATACCCTCCCCCTCCACCACCACCGGTGCCGCACGCACAGACGGGGACAAAGGTTCTCTAGGGGCCAGATGTCGCTCAGGTGAGGCGGGCGGCATCTGACCAGGTGCTTCTTCAGGTGCTTCGGTGGAGAAGGCATCGTTGGTGAGGAGGTCCATGGAGGCAGGCGCCTGTGGGGCACACACACAGGGACGAGCACGCAGCCGGACAGAGGAGCGTGAGCGACCAGCAGTGGTAGCCAAACGACTCGTCCACCTTCGCTGCTTAACACTCTTATTTCCTACTGGATGCTCTGGCTCAAGGCAAGCAATGGCAGAGGGGGGTGCAGTGCGAAACTCACAGAGGCATGGTAGAGTGCGGTTGTGAGGCGTGCAGCCCAATGCGCCTTGAGGGCCTCCGACTTGAGCCGCAGCACCACCGCCTGCCCTGACAGCACCACCTGCTCCCAGCACAGGACAGCCAGCACTTCCAAACCAATGTTATGTGCCTAACCACAAAGCAGGGAAGCCACGCAGGGAAGAAGCAGCGCAAATGTGTGGGCATGTGAGGCGCCGTGCGGCACAGAGATGAGGTGGTGGCGTGCAGCAGCATGGGAGGCGACGCACCTTGGCAGGTTGAGCGCCCCGGGCAGCGAGGGCAATGACGTGGTGGTAGCCCGCTATGTGCTGCGGAGGCACGTCCAGCACCCCCATGGCGCTGCTCAGACTGCCATGTGCGCGAGGGGGTGTGAGGGGCATGGGAGCATGGCATGGTCAGGCGCATGCATGCGAGCGGGATGTATGTGCACGTCGCACAATCAGCATCAATCACTTCAGCTTGCAGCAGAAAGCGGTGGGTGGAGTGCACGCCGTACGGGGGAGATTGTGGGGTGACGCATGAGGGGGGGCGGGCGTACTTGATTTGCTTGTGTGGCTTGGTGGCCTCGGGGTGGTCCAGCAGATACAGTGTGGGCCCCACCAGTGCCGCCCAGTACGGCACCCACTCCGCTGCACTGCCTATGCGCTGCCATGCTCCATGAGACGGGCATGAGAAGGGCACGGGAGAAGGACCGAACAAGAGCATTGGAGACGGGGAGGCAACGAGGTGAGAGTATGGGACAGGAAAAGAACGGTTGATGTGATGTGACTTCACATAGAAATGGCTGCGGCACACAGAGACCCCCTTCCATCTCTCACCGTCCACTGCAGCAGGCACACATCCCATCTCTCACCGTCCACTGCAGCAGGCACACATCCCATCTCTCACCGTCCACTGCAGCAGGCACACATCCCATCTCTCACCGTCCACTGCAGCAGGCACACATCGCCCGCCTGGTCCGCCTGCTGCCATGGTCGCACCGCCACCGCCCCATCACCCTCGCCCGCCACCCCGCCCTCTGCAGCGTCGGCTTCAGCAGCAGGAGGCGGCGCGGGGGAGAGCGCACGGAGGGCGCGCATGAGGCGGCGGTAGCGGGCGGGCGAGTAGTGGAAGGCGAGGCACGGCAGCCACACGGCAATGCGCGTGGTGGGGTAGCTGGGGTGCTCTACCATCATCTGCACGGCCGGGAGGGGCATGGAGCATACGCACTTGCACTCATGCTCGTTTCCAGGGCGTGCTTAAGATGCAACACAAGCATGTTGTTGGTAGTATGCGAGCAGACGAGAGGAGCCCACCTGGTGCAGCACGGCAGAGAGGCCACACTTCTGCAGCAAGTCCAGACGCAGCCCCCCTGATCCGCCCTCCCCTGCACCCGCCTCCCCATCCGTGCCACCGTGCTGCTGCTGCTGGTATCGCCGCCAGTCAAAGGCCCCATCGGCGACGGACATGGAGATGTCGGTGGCCGTGATCTTGAACCGCGTGTACAGCGCTGCCGCCGCCATGGCCTCACTGCCCTCCAACGATGGGTCGTCCTGTACAAGGGTGTGGACCAGCGGCAACGGTGAGATGGCAAAGTAAGCATGAGCAAACGCCAGCCACTGGCCAGGTCCTCACCAGTCGAAGCGCTCCTTGTGGGCGTCAAGGCAAGATGGTGGGAGTCGGGTTGACTGTTCTAGGGGGCGGCACGAGGCCGTAGAGAGGGCACCTGGTCGGTCTTGAGGGTGAAGTGGCCGAAGTCGAGCAGCAGCTGCGTGGGCGGCTCCCCGTGGGGCGAGGGGTCAGCGGGGATGGCCACCTTGGGGGCGTCCACGTCCAGGTCTATGGAGAACCTGGAGGGGGGGGAGGGAGAGGGGGGAGGGATGGATGTGCATGTTAGAAGAGAGAGAATTGATACATTGAATAATGAGCCAAGAGGCTCTTTAGTACAAACAATGAGCAAGAGAGAGATGAGAGGGAAGCTTACCCTATTGGCCAATACGTTGGCCAATGGGTGAGCTTGCTTGTGACCCAAGCAACCACAAATGTGTGTTGGTTGGGATTGGTTGAGCTAAGGACCAATCCTAACCAACCACAAAATGTGGTTGGAGGGTACACTAAGCAACCCCCCAATTTATAAATGTGCTACACTTCTAGCCTATGTATGTTGTATGAAATATGAAATTACAACACAACCCCCCAACATGCATAAGGCTAGAAGGCTAAAATCAAGAGGCGGGAGGCGACTTAGGAGGAGTGAGGCCAAGAAGACGAAGTAGGAAAGAGTGAGCGGCATGAGGAAGAGCTTTCGTGAAGATGTCGGCAAGGTTGGCCGCCGAGTCAAACTTGTCGAGGCGAAGGTGCCCCGCCTGAACAAGATCGCGAATGAAGAAATGACGGAGCTCAATGTGCTTGGAGCGCCCGTGAAACACAGCATCTTTGGTGAGGTGAATGGTACTAGCATTGTCACACCAAATTGTGGGACAGCGCTGGGGGGCACCAAGTTCCTCAAGAAGGAAGGTGAGCCAGCGGGCCTCTTGCGCAGCCATGGTGGCGGCATACAATTCCGCCTCGCAGGAGGAGAGGGCTGCAGCCGAGGAGCGGGTGGAGCGCCAGCTGATAAGGCCGCTGCCAAGAGAGAAGCCATAGCCCTGGGAGGAGCGACGATCTGGCCGGGAATCAGCCCAGGAGGAGTCACTGTAGCCGCTGAGAAGAGGTGGGGAGGGGCCGCCAAGGGTAAGGACATAGTCCTTGGTGCCACGAAGGTACCGGAGGACACGCTTGGCGGCCTGCCAGTGCTCTTCCGTATGCTTGCCTGCGCCAACAAAACGAGCGAGGACGCTGATGGGGTAGGCAAGGTCAGGGCGAGTGGAGACCATGGCGTACATGAGGGAGCCGATGAGCTCGGGATAAGGATGGGAGGAGGCTGAGGGGGAGGTGGGTGGAGAGAGGTGGTGCCCGACAGAAAGAGGTGTATGTTGGGCGCCGCCGCGGGCCATGTCAAACCGCTCCAAGACCTGCTGCAAGTAATGACCCTGGGAGAGTGAGATGGTGCGGGCGGAGCGGTCACGAGTGATGGTCATGCCCAGATAATGCTGCAGCTCTCCCAAGTCTTTGCACTTGAGACGGGTGCCCAACTCAGCCTTAACATGCTCCAACTCTCCAAGGTCGGCAGTGAGCAGAATCATGTCATCGACATACACAAGGATGTAAAATGGGGAGGGGGAGGTGCGGAGGAAGAGGCTGGCGTCAGAGCGGGAGGTGCGAAACCCAAGTTCAGCAAGGGTGGCGGCAAGTTTAGCATGCCACTCCCTCGGGGCCTGTCGGAGCCCATACACCGGTCGACGCAGCTGCCAGGCAGAGTCTGCTGGGAAGGGGAGGTGAAAGCCGGCTGGACGCTCCATGTAGATAAGCTCGCGGAGGACTCCTTGTAGGAAGGCGTTGAAACGTCCATCGAGTGGATCTCCATATTGAGGCGAGCGGCGAGGTCGAGCACGGCGCGAACAGTAGCAGGCTTGGCAGTAGGGGAGAAGGTATCGAAGAAATCAAAACCATACCGCTGCGTGAACCCCTTGGCGCAGTAACGAGCCTTATAAACGGGCGGCTCCCCTGGCAGCTGCTTGACGCGAAACACCCACTTTCCTTTCCCCACGTTCGTAGGGGCGGGAGGGCGAGGCACATCGACAAAAGAGGAGTTGCCGATAAAGGCCTCCAGCTCCTTGATGATGGCGGCGAGCCATAGCGGAGCGTCAGGGCACGCCATTGCCTCCTCGTACGTGGTAGGAACGAAAATGGAGGGAGCAGAGGAGAAGGCGAAGACAGGTGTGCCAGAGAGGTCGAACGTGATGGGTAGAAGCGAGGGGTCATAAAGGTGGAGGTCAAGGAACTCTTCATGGGAGTCCTCAGAGAGGGAGGTGTGGAAGGCGCGGATGACTGCTGGTGCCGCTGCTGGTGCTGCTGGTGGAGGCGTTGCCGGTGCCGGTGCTGGTACTGCTGCTGGTGCCGCTGCTGGTGCCGCTGCTGGTGCCGCTGCTGGTGCCGTTGCTGGTGCCGCTGCTGGTACTGTTGCTGGTACTGTTGCTGGTGCTGCTGCTGGTGCCGCTGCTGGTCCCGCTGCTGCTGCCGATGCCGCTCCCGCTGCTGCTGCCGCTGCTGGTCCTGCTGTTGCTGCGGCTGCTGGCGCTGCTGCTGCTGCCGCTGCTGGTCCCACTGCTGGTGCCGCTGCTGGAGAGGAGGTGGTTGAGGGGGCTGTTGCATGAGGGGCTTGATGCAAGACAGCCTGGAAGAAGTGACGGAGGAGGGGGGAGAGAGGGGGGAGGGTAGAGGTAGAGAGGGTAACGGGAGGCGGTGCACCAAGGATACCGTCACGTGACCGTGGTGTGGGGATACTGGGTGAGTATGGTGCGGGAAGGGGGAGGACGGGTTGGTGGCGAGGGAGAGGAAGGGGGGGGGGGAGGGGTACTAGGAGAGGAGTGAGCGGGGGAGACAGGAGAAGACAGAGGTTCCGGGTCAAAGATGTCACCAGAAGAGGGAGGGGCACCATGGGACTGGGACGGCGGAGAAGGGGGGGGTGGGAGGATGGGGGGAGGAGGGAGTAGTGGGGGAGGGGTGGTGTCAGACCAGACAAGGGGACGGGTGAGAGGGGGGAGTGGGTCAGTAGATGTGGGAGAGGAGTAGTAGGGAGTGGACTCGTCAAAGACCACATCCCGGCTGCGGATTAGACGACTGGATGGTGGGTGGAGGAAAAGGTAGTCAGGGGAGGAGGGATTATGACCAAGGAAGATGCAGGGAAGGGTACGAGGGGCAAGCTTTCCCATGGAACGAGAACGGTCAGAGGGGTGAATGAGGACATGTGCCTTAGAGCCCCAGACACGAAGTGATGAGGCATCAGGCTTGTCTAGGCATGATCATCCTGCCCCGGCGGGTCGGGTCGACCCGACCCGACCCGGGTTTTGACCCGGGTCGGGTCAGGCATTTTGAAGCGCTGACCCGGCCGGGTCGGGTCGGGTTTACCCGGTCGGGTCGGGTTTACCCGGTCGGGTCGGGTCGACCCGACACCCGAAACCGGGTCGGGTCGGGTCAGATTTAGACCCGAAGTCGTACCCGACCCGGTTTCGGGTACCGCGCCCTAAGTCGGGTCGAGTATTTGGCCCAACCCGACTTTTCCTCCCTCGACAAGTTGCACTAAAGCAGATCGCGAAGTCAATGTCTAGGGTTTGTTTGTTCCCTCGACATTGACATTCCCTCGACAAGTTGCACTAAAGCAGATCGCGAAGTCAATGTCTAAACCCTAGACCGGAGTTCCTGTAGTAATCCATTACCTAACTGCTGCTGTAGTAGGTCATCGTCAAAGTGAAGAGGAAGAAATCGAACGCAAAGATTATTGAAGGGAAAAGCGGCCTGACATTGAGTGAGTCTGGTAGAAGTTGGCAACAAATTGGATGGGGTGAAGGTGGGTTGTGAGCGGTGGATAAGAGGGAATGATCCACCAACAATCTCGAAATTCAGATCTGAAGTTGCTTTAGCAACGCGCGAACTCATATCTGAATTTCTAGACTCAAATTTGAGTTTGCCAGATCGCGAACTCATCTGATTTTTTTTTTCCGGTCAGCCCGAGCCAAATTTGGCGAATTTTAGAAAAATCCACAGCGTACGAATTCTAGATGTGTATAAACTCAATACGCAACTTGAAACTAGCGTTTTTTCCAACTTAGGAACCTCTTACCCTGCATATGGGGTCCTGGCCCGACCCGACCCGACCCGACCCGACCCGGCCCCTACCCGACCCGACCCGGGGGCGGGTCACGCCTGACCCGGCACCCGATACCCGGGTTGGGCCAGGATTTTTTGAAGTTCCGACCCGACCCGACCCGACCCGGAACCCGGCTGGCCCGCCCAAGTCGGGTCGGGTCGGGTCGGGTCGGGCCTAATGATCATGCCTAGGCTTGTCCTTCGTCCACAGCTCAGTGGGGGTGATGGAGGGGAGAAGGGGGTGAGGGTAAAGGTTAGTAAGGAGGGCGGCATGAAGGAGGGCGTAGCCCCAAAGAGAAGGGGGGCAGGAGGCGTGGACAAGCAGACACCGGGCTGTTTTGGTGATCTCTCGAACACGACTCTCAGCCACGCCGTTCTGCTGTGGGGAGTGAGGGAGGGTGTAAGTCTGAAGGATGCCACGAGACTGACAATAGGAGGAGACTTGGTTGTTAAGGAACTCACCACCTCCATCAGAGTGAAGGCGGCGAACAGGGCGCCCAAAATGGGTGTTTGCCCGCTCGAGCCAGGCAATAATCGCAGCCGGGGCATCCGCCTTCGTCCGAAGGAGAGAGACGGACGAGTACCGACTGTGATCATCAACAAGCACGAGAAGGTAGCGATGGCCCTGGCGAGTGGGAGAGGGATTAGGGCCCCATAGGTCCATGTGAACAAGATCAAGTGGCTGCGTAGCAGCGGAGGGGGAGCTCCGGTGCGGCTGCTGCTTGAGCTTGCTCTGAACGCAGACGGTGCAGGGGGGGGCAGGGGATTTGGGGAGGGGAGGGAGGGAGGAGGGGAGACCGTGGAGGAGACCGGAGGAGACAGAGGAGCGCAGAGTAGCGAAGTTGGGGTGGCCTAGCCTGTGATGGAGGAGGATGGTGGGGTGGGAGAGGGAGCGACAGGAACAGTCAGAGTCAGGAGGGCGGGGGGGGAGGGGTGGGTTAGTGGGAGGGAGGGGAGGGGGGGGGGGGGAAGGAGGGGGGGGGAGGCAACTTGGAAGGTGAGGGGGCGGGGAACCCGAAGGGTGTACAGACGGGAGTGGGGACAATAGGGAATACGGGCGAGAAAACGACCTGTGGAGGTTTGGTATAGGTCACAATGGTTAGCACCACCTGGGATGAGAGTGGTGATCATGGCTTGTTGGAGGGACCTTTGGGAGAGGAGGTTAGTACGAAGGGAGGGAATGTGGAGACTGGTGACAGTACCTGAGGGAAAGAGAGGACAGGGAAGGGTGGAGGTGTTGTGACAAGGGATGGAAAAACTGCTATCAGCGCCGAGGAGGGAGGTTGGTGTGGGGAGAGGGCGCAGTGTACCAGCGTCGCGAAGGACAGTGTCAGTGGCTCCACTGTCCAGAACGAAGTCAATGGTGGAGGAAGGTGAGGCAGAGTACTGGAACGAAGTTTCATTAGCAGAAGAAGGGTACATGGGAGATGCAACAGATTCAGGTTGACCTAATAAACCAACAAAACCAGAGGAAGGGAAAGCGGTCACACTGCCACCTGCAGACGGCGCCGGGGACGCACCCGAGAGATGGGCTGCAGAGGCAGCACTCCCAGCAGTCCAGGTAGGAAAGGGCTGCTGCTGGGAAACCGGAGGAGGAGGGAGGAGGGGCAGTTGCGGTTGGAGGTCGAGCTGCTGCTGGAGATGCTGGAGCTGCTGCTGGAGCTGAGAGAGGAGAAGCTGCTGCCCATACTGCTGTGACCCCTGCTGCTGATTCCCAAGCTGCTGCTGCTGCTGCTGTTGCATGCTGCTGGTGCTGCTGCTGGGGAGGGGCGAGGGCCTGGTGGGCGTGGGTGGAGGAGGGAGGTTCATAAAGGGGAGAGGAACGGACCTCAAGGGGAGTGGGGCGAGGGTTGAGGGCGGACCAGCGAGGAGGGGTGCCGATGTTGCCACGGGCAAACCACTCATCACTGAGTGCCTTGAAGCACGTCTCAGTGGCGTGGGTGGTTTGGCCGCAGCGCTGTCCCTGAGTGGGACCGTAGCGAGGCAGGTACTGACAGGGAGGAAAGGCAGCTGCCGTACCACGACCCGCACCACTGCTGCCAGCACCACCGCGACCTGCTGATCCCCCTCGTCCACCCCCACGCCCACCACCACGCCCACCCCCACGCCCACCGCCACGTCCACCCCGGCTGCTGCGCGACTGGGCTGCTGCGGTTGTGGAGGAAGAGTGGCGAAGGATCTCAGCTTCGGTGGTGATAATCCACTGAGCGACTTTGGCAGGGGTGTGGTGCTTGGAGATAAGCTGCATGTAAGCAAGCTTGTGAGCGTCGAAGGCAGGTGTGAGGCCCTCGAGGAGGTGGCAGCAGATGACGGTGTCCGGGTACACCACATCGAGTGTTGCAAGGCGCCGAGCAAGGTCTGAGATACGGCGAGTGAAAGCAGCTGCGCCAAAAGTGGAATCCATGGAGAGAGTTCCAAACTCCTTGATAAGGGCGTAAAGAGTGGCAACGTCCTGCCGATCGAAAAGGTCGACTAGCAGTCGCCACAGGTGGGAGGAGGAGGTAGGTGAGAGCTCGCGTTTGAGGGAGGAGGGGATGGTGGCAAGAAGAATGGCAAGCGCACGCCGATCAGCAACCCGTCAGGCATTAATTTTCGTGGTGTAGTCTGCAAGTTCTGCAGTGTAGGTGTCCAGGTCCTCCTGGTACGTGTTGTAGCGGGCAGCGGCCTCGTCATAGATGCGCCTGTCGTCCTCGTAACGCAATTGCAGGCGCAGGTGCTCTTGGAGATTGGTGCGGTAGGTGCGAATGGCGGTTTCCGAGCTCTGCGGGTCGTTGACATTCGGCGCGAAGGTGGGAGGATCACCGGGGGGAGAGGGCTCGGCGCCAGGGTGGGCGGGGGCAGGTCCAGTAGGAGCGGTGGGGGCCACGGGCTGAAGTCCACCGCCTTCCTGAAAGACAACCGAGCGAAGGTTGTAGCCGCTGACCACAACAGAGGAGAGGAGCACCTCAACGGAATGAGCATAAGAGTGCCAATTAGCAGCAGAGTTGTCAGGCAGCAACTCGAGTGCGTCAACAGTGGCAAGGTCGACGGAAGAATCGGACGACGATGCCATAGAGATGAGGGTGGGTAGAGGCTAGGGCAGGAGGAGGATGGTGCGAGGGTACCGTTGCCAATGCTGCTGCTGGCCCTGCTGCCCGTGCCGCTGCTGGTTCTGCAGCTGGTGCCGCTGCGGATGCTGCTGCGGGTAGGATGGGAGGAGGAAGGGAGGAGCGGAGGGTGGGGAAGGTGGAGGAAGAGGAGGGCGATGCTATGGGGGATGCACGGGGGAAGGGTGCTGCTGGTGGTGCCGCTGCAGGTGCTGCTGCTGGTGCTGCTGCAGGTAGGATGGGAGGAGGAAGGGAGGAGCGGAGGGTGGGTTGGGTGGAGGAGGAGGAGGGCGATGCTATGGGGGAGGAAAGGGGGGAGGGTGCTGCTGGTGGTGCTGCTGCGGGTACAATGGGAGGAGGAAGGGAGAGAGGGGGGGGGGGAGGGGACGAAGAGGGCAGCCGTGCGGCAGATCCGCGCGACTGGGAAGCCCGTGGCGAATGCACACGGGACAGCCCGCGGCAAACGAGCGGGACGTGCAGAGATGGGCGCGAAATGGTCAGATTTCAGCGCGGGAGATGCAGATCTGGTCGCGCGGAGGGCAGATCTGGTCGTGTGGAGGGCAGATCTGGTCGCGCGGAGGGCAGATCTGGTCGCGCGGGGTGCAGATCTGGTTGCGCGGAGTGCAGATCTGGGCGGAGGGCAGATCTGGGCGCGCGAAGTGCAGATGTGGTCGCGCGGAGTGCAGATCTGGTCGCGCGGAGTGCAGATCTGGTCGCGCGGAGTGCAGATCTGGGCGCGCGGAGGGCAGATCTGGGCGCGCGAAGTGCAGATGTGGTCGCGCGGAGTGCAGATCTGGTCGCGCGGAGTGCAGATCTGGTCGCGCGGAGTGCAGATCTGGTCGCGCGGAGTGCAGATCTGGTCACGCGGAGTGCAGATCTGGTCGCGCGGAGTGCAGATCTGGTCGCGCGGAGGGCAGATCTGAGCGCGCAGAGGGCGGATCTGGGCGGGCGGAGTGCAGATCTGGGCGCGCGGAGTGCAGATCTGGGTGCGAAATGTTCAGATCTGGGCGCGGAATGATCAGATCTAGGCGCGGGAGGAGTAGATCTGGTCGCAGGGAGTGCAGATCTGGGCGCTGGAGTTGCAGATCTGGACGTGCCTTGGAGGGCAGCGCCTTAGGGGGCGCACGGGCAGGGAGGACAGCGCCTAAAGGGCGCGTGAAGGGAGGGCAGCTCCGTGGGTGGGGCTAGATCTGAGGAACGGGGAGGAGAGGGTGGCCTAAGGACCGAGGGAGGTAGGCGTGAGCCATTAGCTCATGATACCATGTTAGAAGAGAGAGAATTGATACATTGAATAATGAGCCAAGAGGCTCTTTAGTACAAACAATGAGCAAGAGAGAGATGAGAGGGAAGCTTACCCTATTGGCCAATACGTTGGCCAATGGGTGAGCTTGCTTGTGACCCAAGCAACCACAAATGTGTGTTGGTTGGGATTGGTTGAGCTAAGGACCAATCCCAACCAACCACAAAATGTGGTTGGAAGGTACACTAAGCAACCCCCCAATTTATAAATGTGCTACACTTCTAGCCTATGTATGTTGTATGAAATATGAAATTACAACAGTGCAATGACAAGAGGCGAGCGTGCAGAGGTGATGCAGTGGAGGGGCAGTGGAGGGGCAGTGGAGGGGGCGATTGGCATGCGGGGTGGCCCCAGCAGCGGCTGCCTGTGCACGCTAACGCCTCCTTGCCTTGACGGCCCTCTGTGGCAGCCTCCATGCCCCTTGCTTGCTCTTTTAGGCTCCCTTACCCTTTCTTCCTCCCATCGCGATCCACCTTATCACGCCCACTGTGACCCATCTTCTTCTACAGCACACAAACTACCACCAATTCCCATCAGTTACAACCGCCATCACACGCGCGAGGTGCAAGCTGCAGCAACCGCTCCACGGCACCCTGCTGTGATCACCCGCATCCCCTGCCATACCTGGTGCGTCGCTGCAGCACCTGCTGCAGCTGCTGCTGAGCCTGCCGCCCCACGTCCTCTAGCTTGCTCTGCAGGGAGGACGGGGGGTGTAGGCGTGGCAGGGCAGCAGAAGCATGGAGGAGTGTGCCGGGCAGTGAAAGAAGCACTCTTTAAGTTTTTGCGAAAGAGGAAACACATCGTCAATTTTCACGTAAAGTAGGCTGGCAGAGTGATGCATGGGTGCTCATTGCAGGAAAGCACAGGTGCTTGATCTCACGGCAGTGCAGCAAGGAGAGTGGCAAGGAGAGTGGCAAGGAGAGTGGCAAGGAGAGTGGCAAGGAGAGTGGCAAGGAGAGTGGCATGGGATGTGGCACCTGCAGGGCGGCGGCGGTCTCGAGGGCGACGGCAGGTGTGGCCTGCTGACCAGCGCGCAGGAAGTGCAGCACTCGGTCTATGCTGCGCCGCCACAGCTGTGGAGGCATTTGGGGAGGGGGGAGGGGGGAGGAGCAAGAGGGATTTAGAGGAACGACATCGCGAGGGGATTTGAAGAGAACATGGTAGGGAGTAAGGAGATTCAATAAGCATGGCTTGCAGGGAAATCAGAAGGCGGGGGATGAGCAATGAGGGAAGAGGGAGGATTGGGGCGGGCACCATGACGTGGCAGGGCGAGAGGGCAGCGATGAGCATCCAGTCGAGGTGCTCTTCGATGGGGTGCTGCACGAACGATGCTGTCAGTGCCGCCTCCTTGCCCTCCCTGCTCACACTCTGCTCCCATGCACGCTCTCGCTCACACACGCATGCACACACACACATGCACACACACACACACACACACACACACACACACACACACACACACACACACACACACACCAGGACATGCCAGAAGCAACAGAACAATCACTGAGAGCATAGCACATGGCGCATGTCAAAAGCAATGCATGCATAGATGGCAGAACAGAACGTCAGAATCTTGGATAAGAAGCAGCCAAAATGCCACCTCAACCTCATCCCAGCAACTCCTCCCCCCTCAGCATGCCGCACCTCAATGAGGGTGCCTTCGGGCACGGCGAGGTCGTAAAGGCGCAGGCTGACGTCAGCCTTGAGCATGAGAGGGTACAGGCGCAGCGCCACGTGCAGGTGGTGGCACGACCCACACACCACGTCCACGCCCGCCCCCCCGTCCACGAGGCGCGCGCGGAAGCAGTCCATGCCCACCTGCACCACCATCTGCACCGCCCCCGCCGCCGCCTGCCCCGGCTCGTACTGCGCCTCCTCCCCCGCGCGCACCAGCTCCTCTATCTTCTCCCACTCCTCCGCACTCAGCCCCCCCGCCTCCCCCTCCTCCTCCGCCCCCTCGTCCCCCCTTGACTCCGCTGGCACAGACGCCCCTCGCCTGCCATGCCCCCAACACGCGCATCACGATGGGGAAGGGGAGAGAGGGGTAGGTTGGGGTGGCACACGGACAGCAAGGGCGAGGCGTGGGTCGGACAAGGGCAGGGTTCAAGGAAGCAGGCAGCAGGCAACAAGCAGAAAGCAGAAAGCAGCAGAGAGCGACAGCAAGCCACAGCACCTAGAATCCCTGCCTGTCACCCCGCGGGTCATGGTATCCCCCCGTCTCACCAGGAGGCGAACCACCCCTTGGCCTTGGGCTGCACTGCCTGCCGCTGCGCCTTGGGTCGGCTGCGCTCCGCCTGCGAGTGCGCCAGCATGCTGTGCCACATGTGGGGCATGGCCGGGGCACCGGGGGCACAGGGGGCAGAGAGGAGAACGGCAAGTGAGAGACAGAGAAGCGGCAGGTGACAGGGCAGCAGTCACAGCGTGACATGTAGGGTGCACACAGCCCTGACACACCAGCCATCCTCTGCCACTCAATCTCCCTCCGTTATTCTTCCCTAGCAACCCTCCAATGGATGGGCCTCCATCCCCTCCCCCCCCCTCCCTGAGAGCTCACCGCCAGAGCAGGGCGACCTCCACGCTGACGTGCGCCTCGATGGACCGCATCTCAGCGCTGTCCGCCGCCGCACCCGGCTTCACAGGGCCGCCCGACGCCCACGCGTCCAGCAGCGCCTGGGTGTACGCCGCCACGTAGCGGCGCCGCATGTTGCAGCTGTCCTTGATGCCCTTCCATGTCATCGTTGGCCTGCATGCCACACCGCACATCGCATTAGTCAGTGTGTGCACGCCAAACCCAACAGCACCTGGCAATGGGACATGGCAGGCCACTGCCACGGCAGCATTCAGGCCAGCATCAGAGCGCACCTGAGGGCGTGGTGCTGCTGCAGCAGGGCGCGCGCAGCAAAGCGCCACCAGAGGGCGGCGTGGGAGCGCACGGGTAGGCGCGGGCGCAGGTGAGCCACGTCCACTCGGCGACGGTACAGCGCTGCCGCCTCCATGAACCGCATCCCGTCCTCGTACTGCGTCTGCTCCACCGGGAATGGGGGTGGGGGGAGGGGGAAGGTGTTAGGAGGAGGGAGGGGGTGGCACACGGAGGCAGATGAGCACGCGGTGTGCACTGTGCATGTGTAGGTGTGCATGTGTAGGTGTGCATGTGTGTCGAGACCCTGCAAATAACTGCACTGACCTGTGAGAGAGTGAGAGCCACCTGCCCCAGCTGCAGAGCGGCAGTCTGGAAGGGCACGTCGTCGCGCCGCCTCTCCTTCTTGCTGCGCCGCTCGTACCGCATCCTGCCGTCCACCGGGTGTAGCAGAAACTGCCGATTCGCCGCCCAGTCAGTGGCACCTGCACTGGGTGGCGCCTCCTCATGAATGCCCGCCTCAAACACCTGGCAGAGGGGGCAAGCAGCACCACACAGCACAGCAGTACATGGACGAGGGTGGTCTCACAGGGACGTTCAGCACTGAAACGAGCTCACTAGTCCCGCACACCCTTACCAAGGACATCCGCAGGGAGGGGGCATAGGGGGCAGGGAAGGCGGGCGGGCATACCTCGCTCCACTGTGCGCCCTGCATGGCATCCCACGCGGTGTGTGGATCCCACGGCCCGCTGTTGCTGTCGTGATACACCGCCAGGCGCTCCAGATGCACCGCCTGCCACCCGCACATGCATGCAAGCAAGGGTGGGGGGGAGGGGAGGTAAGGAGGGGTGTGGACGAAGTTAATAGCATGCCGTCACGCATAGAGTGGTGGTCAGCAGAGACACAGGATGAACCAGAGCGAGGCAGCAGAGCAAATGAAGCGTGGGACAGAGAGCAAAAGGAGCAATCACTGGCAGCAGAGCAAATGGCACATGGGAACGCACCTTGTAGAGGCTGTCCAGCGTGGGAACGCACCTTGTAGAGGCTGTCCAGCGTGGGAGCGCACCTTGTAGAGGCTGTCCAGCGTGGGAACGCACCTTGTAGAGGCTGTCGAGCGCCCCGCTGGTGACGAACGTCTCCACCCAGTTCTCATCCGTGGTCACCGCTGCCAGCCGCGCCAATGTCACCCCCGTGCAGAAGGGACGCCCTGACAGGCTGTGGTAGGGTGCAGGGACGGGAGGGGAACAGGAAGGAACGCATGTGGGATGAAGAGAGTGAGGATGATAGCTGGCTTCATTAGCCATTGACGACAAGCAACCAATGATTCAAAGAAACGTCATGCTGCTGCTATGGTGCTTATGTGCTGATCGTCTTGGTGTAGCAGGAAGAGAGGTCGTGGGGTGGTGGCATGGCATGGCATGGACGGACCTGCCGGGGTCCTCATAGCGGATGTGCACGTTGGTGAAGGAGATCTTGATGTTGCCCACTATGGTGGCGATCAGTGATGATATCCATGATGCCCCACTGCCCGCCTGCCACCACCCCCCATGCATGCCATGCCAAGGAGTTCCAGAACGAGTTAGATTGGGAGCAGGAGAGGCATTGCAAACCAGCTAAACAAGGCGCTGGCAGCCATAGAACCTCCAGCACTGCTGCTCCTCCGGCACTGCTGCCAATCCTGCTCTCTCTCTCCCTCCCGTGATTTTTCTCTCTCCCTCCCGTGATTTTTCTCTCTCCCTCCCGTGATTTTTCTCTCTCCCTCCCGTGATTTTTCTCTCTCCCTCCCATGATTTTTCTCTCTCCCTCCCGTGATTTTTCTCTCTCCCTCCCGTGATTTTCCACTCCTTGTCTCTTCTCCTCCTCGACTGCTCACTCTCCTGTCACTCTCCTCTCATCATCCCCCACCTGCTCGTCGCCTCCTGCCTTCTGTCGCTCCCTGGCTTCCAGCATTGCCACCTCCGCTTCCTGCACGTGGCAGCACAATAGTGGATGCACGTGGCAGCACAATAGGGGCGGTTGGATGCACGTGGCAGCACAATAGGGGCGGTTTGATGCACGTGGCAGCACAATAGGGGCAGTTTGATGCACGTGGCAGCACAATAGGGGCGGTTTGATGCACGTGGCAGCACAATAGGGGCGGTTTGATGCACGTGGCAGCACAATAGGGGCAGTTTGATGCACGTGGCAGCACAATAGGGACGGTTTGATGCACGTGGCAGCACAATAGGGGCGGTTTGATGCACGTGGCAGCACAATAGGGGCGGTTTGATGCACGTGGCAGCACAATAGGGGCGGTTTGATGCACGTGGCAGCACAATAGGGGCCGTTTGATGCACGTGGCAGCACAAGAGGGGCGGTTTGATGCACATGGCAGCACAAGAGGGGTGGTTGGATGCACGTGGCACACTATGCGCACAGCACCACGGGTACAGTGGTGACACGTGGCGTACCTCTATTCTGCGCCTCTTTGCCTCCAGGCGTTGCTCCTCCTCCTCCTCCGCTGACTGCACCCCAACCACGACACCACCCCCCCACAGCCCAACCCAGCAGAAGAAAGGAGCATCAGATGGACGGCAAGTGCAATGCCGAGGACCCTTGGTCACAGGGGGGCAACAACTCCAGCACAGGGTTTAGGGTAGTAAGGACGAAACACAACGAGCACAAGAAGTGGGCCTATGAATAGGTGTGGGGCAAGTGGAAGAAAGATGGTGGAAATAGAGATTGGAGGCATGGTGGAGTGGGGAGGAGGTGGAGGCAGCGGGGGAACAGGAGGGGCGGAACCTGATGGGAGGAGGAGGCGGGGGCGGAGGAGGGGTGGGCGAGGATGAAGACTCGGTCCAGCAGCAGCACCACCGGCTCCACTCCCAGGCGACTCCATGGCACCTGCACCACATGGCACCGCACCGCACACCACAGCACACCACGGTTATGGTGCAAGCGAATGAGGGCATATGATGGCACACTATGAACCACACACCACAGTGCTGTTTTCCAGAGCCCTGCACAGCACTCCTCACCTCCTTGCAGCGCACTGCCACTGTGCACCGAACGACCCTTGAGACGTCATACAGGCACAGCCCATTCAAAATAAATTCAACAAAATCAAACATGATGTGTGTTCACCATGTGGCAGATTACGTCATATTACGGAACATTGTCGCAAACCATGACACAATGTTAACGAATTATGAGACACAATGTCCATGCTACGGCATTCAACAGCACAGTACGGCACAAATTGCACAGTACGAGCACATTTTGGCATGTTATGGCACACTACAGCACACTACAGCACACTACAGCACACTGGTGCACATTCAGGGAGCACACTTTGACAAGAAGGCAGATGAAGACACGCTTTGGAACATAACAGCACATATGAGCGCGGTCCGTGATATTCATGGCACACCATGGCCTTTCATGGCACATTATGCCACACCATGGCCTTTTATGGCACATTATGACACACTAGAGCAGACTATGGCACATTTGAGGCACATTATGTACCATCATGTATGCAATATGCAACCATTACAGCACATTAGGGCACACTGCAACACAACAACGCACATTACGGCACACTGCAACACAACAACGCACATTACGGCACACTGCAACACAACAACGCACATTACGGCACACTGCAACACAACAACGCACATTACGGCACACTGCAACACAACAACGCACATTACGGCACACTGCAACACAACAACGCACATTACGGCACACTGCAACACAACAACGCACATTACGGCACACTGCAACACAACAACGCACATTACGGCACGCTGCAACACAACAACGCACATTACGGCACGCTGCAACACAACAACGCACATTACGGCACGCTGCAACACAACAACGCACATTACGGCACACTGCAACACAACAACGCACATTACGCCACGCTGCAACACAACAACGCACATTACGGCACACTGCAACACAACAACGCAACGCACATTACGGCACACTGCAACACAACAACGCACATTACGGCACACTGCAACACAACAACGCACATTACGGCACACTGCAACACAACAACGCACATTACGGCACACTGCAACACAACAACGCACATTACGGCACACTGCAACACAACAACGCACATTACGGCACACTGCAACACAACAACGCACATTACGGCACACTGCAACACAACAACGCACATTACGGCACACTGCAACACAACAACGCACATTACGGCACACTGCAACACAACAACGCACATTACGGCACACTGCAACACAACAACGCACATTACGGCACACTGCAACACAACAACGCACATTACGGCACACTGCAACACAACAACGCACATTACGGCACACTGCAACACAACAACGCACATTACGGCACACTGCAACACAACAACGCACATTACGGCACACTGCAACACAACAACGCACATTACGGCACACTGCAACACAACAACGCACATTACGGCACACTGCAACACAACAACGCACATTACGGCACACTGCAACACAACAACGCACATTACGGCACACTGCAACACAACAACGCACATTACGGCACACTGCAACACAACAACGCACATTACGGCACACTGCAACACAACAACGCACATTACGGCACACTGCAACACAACAACGCACATTACGGCACACTGCAACACAACAACGCACATTACGGCACACTGCAACACAACAACGCACATTACGGCACACTGCAACACAACAACGCACATTACGGCACACTGCAACACAACAACGCACATTACGGCACACTGCAACACAACAACGCACATTACGGCACACTGCAACACAACAACGCACATTACGGCACACTGCAACACAACAACGCACATTACGGCACACTGCAACACAACCATCTGCGCATTGAGTGAACGTTGCAACACGTGATGACACATTACAGCAGGACACACTACGAAATGTTATGGCATATCGCGACAGGCAGGGTATGACACATAACAGCACACTACCGCACACTGCAGCAAAATCATGGCACAACAGCAGCATGCTATGCGAACATTACGGCCCATTGCAGCACATTATGGCACAATATAACACATTGCGGCACATTTCTCGCCCATCATGAGACCATTGAGACACATGATGCCACATTAGGGGCACATCATGCACACACTAAGCGACCCGTTCAGCACATTCAGGCACATTATGGCACTTGATGTGCTCGATGTGCTCGTTAGGGAACAGCACGCCATGTCAGCAACGGCCAGAGATCCTGCCAGCACGTCGCTGAAATAAGGTGACGACTGAGGGGACGTGAGAGGACGATAGGGTCAATCGGACCAGTTCAAATATTACACATAAAAAAGGGAGAAGCACAAATACTAGAGCCGCATGCATGCGAGCAGTGTGAGCAGCGGGGGAGGAGCAGTGGAGACCTTGAGGTTGACTGATCCGATGAAGCCGGCCTTGACTGCGATGGGCAGGCGCAGGCGGTTGAGCGCCTCCTCCTTCAGCTGCAGATCCCTCAGCACCACGTCGCCTGGTGGGGGCGCACGCATGACGCACGCAGCAACATGAATAGGCACGAGGACGTTAGCAGAAACAGAAGGATGCAGCGGCACAGCAACGTGAACAGGCAGAGAAGGATGAAGAGACACGGTTATGCACAGTAATATGCACCAGCAGTAACGGTGGGCCACAAAAAACGGCAAGGATCAACTGGCACGACAGTGTGTGACAGTGGAGGAGAGAGGAATGAGGTGGAAAGGGTGAGGATGAGGGGACGGGAAGGGGGAGAGGGGGAGGTGGGGGTGAGGAGGGGAAAGGAGGGAGGAGGGGAGGGGGAGGGAAGGGGAGGGGAGTCTGACCTTGCCACACGCTGATCTTGAGCGCCTCGTCTGGGATGTTGCGGACATACTCGCCCAGATATTTGCGCAGCAGACCCAGCACCTGCGAAACAACTCAACCAGGCAACAAAGGACTTGTGGACTCCGGGCGATGATATGCATGATGGGCGCCACGTAACTCCATCATTCAATTGGATACTGGATTTGAGACTCTGCTAAGTGGAATTGAGACACTTATTTTCGACAATAAAATCCGAGTTACGTAACCCGCAGTCATCAAGCCCTCCTGATTAAGCGCTGGCGCAAGAAGCGAGCCATGTTTACGTCACGTGAAAGGGCGACCTCATTAAGCGGAGAAAAGGAGCCAGCAAATGGTAGGACTTACGTGAGCCTCAAACATGGTTAAAACCTTCTATCTACAGCCGCGAACTCCTTAGCTTGCTACTCCCACTATGCTCCTCCTAAATTCATCAGAAGGAACATCGCGACTGACTTTCTGAAATTTGACAGAGCTTCCCAAGAACTGGTTCAAGCAAGCAGCGGAGGTCTGGTAGAGGCTCTTTCGTGAATTGGTTACAGTTTGTTACGAGTGCAATTGAGTGAGCGAGCGAGAATGGCACTATCAAAGCAAGGGTACAATGAGCGAAGAACATATAGCTAAACTAGAGTGGTAACAGTAGTTTGTGAAAAGGTGGGGTGCGCGACGGGCCTAGTGCCGAGGTTGGGAATTGTCGAGGCGGAGGTTCGGAGCGCGGGCTACCAACCGAACCGTGAGGTTGGGTCGCGTCGTGAACAGTGGCGGGAACAGTGTCGAGACGAATGTCGCGAGTGGTAACGGTTTATTGCTAGGTGCTGTTGGCAGGAACAGTGGTGAATGTCAAACTATGATAATGCTTGTGCTGTGTAGGCTGTAGTGGGGTAGCCTGTAAGGGGTACAACCCAAATTAGGGTCAGCATATGTACCCACATCTCTGTTCAATGCATTCATTCCTGCTGCTAGATTCTAACATGGTTTCAGAACACTATGTCCGTGGGACCGTTTTTTTTCGGGCCCACCTACCGTTGCGGTTACCACGCTACCCCACGTGCGCCTGCCTGCCTGCCTCGCCTTGTGACATGCTGCGCTGCGCGCGCCGTCCTACAGCCCTCGCGCTGCCTACTGCTGCCCTAGGCCAGCGCGCCGTCCCTGCAGGCCCGTACAACTCGCGAGCCGCCCCTGCAAGCCCGTCAGGCCTGCTAGCCGTCCCTGCAGGCCCGTCAGGCCCGCGAGCAGCCCCTGCAGGCCCGTCAGGCCAGAGCGCCGCCCCTGCAGGCCCGTCAGGCCTACTAGCCGCCCCTGCAGGCCCGTCAGGCCCGCTAGCCGCCCCTGCAGGCCCGTCGGGCCCGCAAGCCACCCCTGCAGGCCCGTCAGGCCCGCTAGCCGCCCCTGCAGGCCCGTCAGGCCAGCGAGCCGCCCCTGCAGGCCCGTCAGACCAGGTCGCTGCCCCACGCGACGCGCTCTTTGCCATCTGTTGCCTCTGTTGCTGCTGTCAACCTTGTTGGCACCGAGTCGGTCGGAGCTGCGTCTGCTCCTAGTGAGAGACGCCGCAGCGGCAAGGGCAAGGGGGGCAAGGGTGGTGGAGGGGACGGCGGGGGAGGCGGTGGTGGCGGAGGTGGTGGCGGTGGAGGTGGGGGTGGCGGCGGGAGTGGGGGCCTCGGTGGCGGTGGTGGAGGTGGAGGCGGCGGCGGCGGCAGCGGCAGTGGGGGTGGAGGCATCGGTGGTGCTGGTCGAGGTGGAGCTGTGCAGCGCGGAGGCTTTGGAGGTGGCCAGCATCAGCAGCAGCAGCGTTCTCGTGAAACCCCGTTACCCCAACAGCTTAATAAGTGGTACGTTGGGCGTGGGAGGCATGGGGGTGCTGGCCCCTGCGCTTACGTTCTCCGCACCGGTGAGCGTAGTGGGGAGACGTGCGGAATGCCGCACGCTGCGCACCGCTGCTTCGGCCGGCTGACGGACGCTTGGCGTGCACAGTTTCCTGACGCCACTGAGCTCCCTCGCTAGGGTGATCTGCTTAGGTCGGAGGTTGCTATCTTTGATCTTGATTATGATGCTATCCTTCCTGCTATGTATGCTATGACTATTAGTGCTGAGGGTGACTGTTACCTGTGTGTTCCGCCCGGCCCGTGCATTGAGGCTGCTGCTCTAGGTGCTAGTGAGTCTGCTGCTCCAGGTGTTGGTGAGGCCACTCTCTCAATTACCGCGTCGGCTCAGGTCTAGCACACTTTCACCATTGACTCAAGTTCTTCTCGTTCCTTCTTTCGCGACTGCACCACACTCACGTCGCTTCACCGGCCAGTGGCAGTCTCCCTGGCTGACCCCTCTGGGGGTCCGGTCCTTGCGCACTCCTCCACGGTTCTGCCATGTCTGGTGGTCCCGTCTGGCTCCCTGTCCGGTCTCCACCTCCCCTCGTTCTCCACAAACTTGGTGAGTGGAGCTGACCTTCAGGACGTGTGGGTTGACTAGTTCACTCCTGGAGGTCAGCGGGTGACCTACTGTACGTGTACACGGACTGGTCGGCACCTGGCCACGTTTACTCGTCAGCCTGGGTCGAGCCTGTACACCCTGACTACCGTGTCTCCTCCAGTTACTGCGTCTGGTCAGGTAGCTGCATCTGGTCAGGTGTTTGCTGCAGCGTCCCGGTCTGGTCCTAAGTCTGCCCCCTGCTCGTGTCGCCTCATGTCTCACCAGACTCTCCTCTGGCACCACCGCCTTGGTCACCCCTCCCTGCCTCGCCTCCGAGGCATGGCCTCCCGTGTCCTTGTCACTGGTCTTCCCCGGTCTCTCCCTCCCCTCCCCGGGGCCTGCCCCTACCTGCGTTCCTTGCGTTGAGTGGCGGCAGCGCGCCACTCCTCACTCCTCGGAGTTCCCTCCGACGGAGGCTCCCCTGCAGACTCTTCACATGGACATGTGGGGCCCAGCCCGCGTCTGTGGTCAGGGTCACGAGCGTTACTTTCTGGTGGTCGTTGACGACTACTCGCGCCACACCACAGTCTTCCCCTTGCGCCGCAAGGGTGAGGCGACTGTGGCTGATCGACTGGATCCGCGCTGCCCGTCGCCAACTCAGCGAGAGTTTCGGCTCGGACCTTCCTGTTCTGCGTCTACACTCAGACAGAGGTGGGGAGTTTTCCTCCGTCCTTCTGAGGGCCTTCTGTCATGCAGAGGGCATCCGCCAGACGTTCACGCTTCCGGCCTCTCCTCGGCAAAATGGGATTGCTGAGCGCCGCATTGGCATGGTTATGGACGTCGCTCGTACGTCCATGATTCATGCGGCTGCTCCCCATTTTCTGTGGCCGTTTATGGTTCAGTACGCTGCGCATCAGCTCAACCTCCAGCCCCGGGTCTCCATGCCGGAGACCACACCTACTCTGCAGTGGACAGGGAAGGTTGGTGATGCGTCTGCATTCCGTATCTGGGGATCTCGAGCTTTTGTCCGCGATTTGTCTGCGGACAAGCTGTCCTCCCGTGCTGTTCCCTGCGTCTTCCATGGCTTCCCCCCTGACGCGCCTGGTTGGCAGCTTTACCACTACACCTCGCACCGTGTTCTGTCCTCTCAGGATGTCACGTTTGACGCGTCGGTTCCTTACTACCGTCTCTTTCCCTACCGCACTCCCCCCCTCCCCCCCCCCCCCCCGCCGCTCTTCCTTGCGCCAGGTCCTCCTCCGGTAGACCCCCTTCCCCCTCAGGGTCCTGCCCCGTCAGGTGTGTCCCAGGTAGACGCAGTCGAGCCTGTCAAGGTAGCTGTTGACTCTGGTGCTGCTAGGGGTGGTGAGCCTGCAGGTGCCGAGTCTGGGGGTGCTGAGCCAGGGGGTGCTGAGTCTGGGGGTGCTGAGCCTGGGGGTACTGAGTCTGGAGGTGCTGAGCCTGGGGGTGCTGAGTCTGGGGGTGCTGAGCCTGGGGGTACTGAGTCTGGGGGTGCTGAGCCTGGAGGTGCTCAGCCTGAGGGTGCGGAGCGTGCGAGTACTGCGCCTGCGCGTGTGGAGCCTGGGAGTGGTGAGCCTGGGGGTGCTGAGCCTGGAGGTCCCTTGGGTGCCTTGTCCCGGCGCGAGCCACTCTCTCCACGGCAGCTGCGCGAGTGGTTTGCCCGGTGCTGGAGCCGTGCTGCTGGAACTAGTGGTGCTACTTGAGCTGAGGGTCCTGCTACCACTCGAGCTGCTGGGGGTTCTGGAGCCGCTGGTCCCGGAGGTGCTCGTACAAGAGGTACTGGAGCTGCTGGGCCTGGTGGTGCTGCTGGAGCTGGAGCTGCTGGAGGTGCTGGAACTGGAGCTGCTAAAAATGCTGGAGCTGGCAGTACTGCTGGAGCAGGTGCTTTTGGAGGTGCTGGAGTTGGCGCTACTGGAGCTACAAGGACTTTTCGTGGTCCTGCTGGAGCTAGGTCTGCTGGAGGTCCTGGAGTTGGCGCTGCTAGAGCTCCGGGAGGTGTTGTTGGGGCTGGTGGAGCTGCAGGAGTTGGAGCTGATGCTGGGGGTGCTGGTGCTGTCTTTGCTTGTTCTGGTGTTGCTGCACGGCCGCGGCTCTACTTTGTTCCACTCCTTCATTAGGTTCTTGGTCTCCCGCCTTCTACTAGTCTTGCTCCTCCCTTAGATTGTCCATCGTCGGTTCTGTCGCAGTCACAGTTACAGCCCGCCTCCCCACTGCCTGCTCCTTCTCCTTACACTGGTCCGACCGGAGGTCTTGCTGAGCGTCGTGAGCCTGCGTCTCGCCCTGCGTCACCTGTTCCCACTGCTTGCACTGGTCGTCGAGGTTCGCGTCAGCGTCCTCCTCCTGTCCCCGGCATGCCCAAGATCGCACTGCGTCCTTCTACTGCTCCACATCGTGTCCCTCTGCCGTCTCCTCCTGCGTCCTCCCTTCCTGTCGGTCCGGACCCAGAGTTGGACTCCCTTCGTGCTGCTAGTCCTACTGTCACGCGTCTCCTAGCCACTGTTGTCACTAACCATTCCTTTGAGTCTACTGCTGCGTCTGCTCTTGTTTCAGAGCTTGTCGACTTTGCTGCTCGCTGACTACGCCGCTAGCCTTGTTGCTGAGTCTGAGTCTGTTTGTCATCCGTCCGTTAGGGGTGAGTGTGCCCTTAACACGGACGTCCTTGAGGACAAGCAAGAGGAGTTCCAGTGTTTTGTTGCTGCTTTACCTCATCTCGTAACCAAGCTGCTTGCCCCTCAGGGAGACTCGGATGCACCAGACATCCCGACTCCGCGCTCTTACGAAGAGGCGATAGAGGGTTCCTACTCCTCTCAGTGGCAGAC